TTGTAGAGACTCACCCAGTATGTAGCTATAGAGACTCACCCAGTATGTGTTTGTAGAGACTCACCCAGTATGTTGCTATAGAGACTCACCCAATATGTAGCTATAGAGACTCACCCAGTATGTGTCTATAGAGACTCACCCAGTATGTGTTTGTAGAAGGACCTGGTGAAGTACACACTGAGCAGCTGCCTGTGGAAGAGAGCGAGACCGATGGCCTGACTCACCCAGTATGTGTCTAGAGAGACTCACCCAGTATGTGTTTGTAGAGACTCACCCAGTATGTGTCTATAGAGACTCACCCAATATGTAGCAATAGAGACTCACCCAGTATGTGTCTATAGAGACTCACCCAGTATGTGTCTATAGAGACTCACCCAGTATGTGTCTATAGAGACTCACCCAGTATGTGTCTATAGAGACTCACCCAGTATGTTGCTATAGAGACTCACCCAGTATGTGTCTATAGAGACTCACTCAGTATGTAGCTATAGACACTCACCCAGTATGCGTTTGTAGAAGGACCTGGGCCCACTTGCACAGAACAACCTTAGTTACAATCAATCTTAGGCCCCTACAATCAACTTTACAATCGCCATACAATTGCCCTAACCCACTTGCACAAAGCCGATCTTAGAGCGATTGTAAGACGGCATGTATTTAAGATCGCGATCTTAGCTAAGATCGAACTCTTCAACGGTGGAGGTACGAATTTCTTAAACTCGACTCCCGTCTACAGTTGTCTGAAAGTGCGCATAGCATGCTGCGCAAATAAAAAGTGATACTGGTCCCAGCACACATACCTCCCTCAATCGCACCTTGCAGAATTTTCATGAAAAAGTCCCAGAAATCTTAGAAGGAACCGATCACGTGGACGATAGCATATATGTTTCTACATTCTAACTGTCTTGATTTATGAACTGAGAATGTGATATTGCAACCACAGAAATACCTACCCATGTTTTATGAAAATACTGAAATACGAAAAAATACATGAATAAATTTGAATCTAGATTGAGTGACTTAATTATGGAACTTAAAATAACAAATATAAACAGTATTTCCTTATGATATAACACCTAAATGTATGATTTGCCAATGGTTGTCAATGAGACATTGTTTAATACGCAGCTGTTGGTGGTGGTGGGGTGTGGGGTGGTTGTAAAATCCTAAATATATCCGAGAATAAAATACAATAAAATAATGGCTACAGAAGTGTTGTAAAGAATGCATGGCAGGGAAATCGTGTATTAAATAATATTTCAAGAGAGTAGTTATTAAATTCGTGATTCACAGTATATTAATTATTTAACCCTATTGCTGTTGATAAATGTTTTTCTTCAAGTGAAATTCTTTTGAAACATAAATTTTTAATGCCTCATCATATATATATCCCTATTTGATGACTACTTGTATATATCGATACATGTATTTAAATTGCATAATCAAATTTAGATTTATGGATGAGAAAGAAACTTGATTTTGCACGTTAACTTGTATCTACTTGTAGATTACTTTAATGATAAACTAAGACAAAATCACTCCATGACCGAAAGAGATATCAGTATGTCGAGCTCTGCAATGGGCATGACAGACTGTAACGGCAACGGCATATGCCAAGGGAAACCACTCCCCATCTTGGCGTTTAAAGTAAAATTATCTGCTCTTGAGTTAATGAAAAGGTCACGGCCATTGTTAATCGTGACGCGGACACCATTCACTATTATCCTTTCCTTGATTATCAAGAAGGTATGTTGTTTCACACTTATTCCAACATTGAATCGGTGGGAATAGTACTTTGTGATATCGACTTCGATAGTTATGTGTTTCACTACAGTAAATAACAATGTATCCGACGTTAAATCGGTTGTGCATTCTCCGTGTTGTTGAAGTGTCGAGGCCGTGAACCACACAGTTTTATGCAAGTAGATGGCGATTGTAACTTGAAGCCTAAGATCGCGATCTTAAGGAATTACAATAATTGTAGCGCTAAGATCGTTCTGTGCAAGCGGGCCCTGGTGAAGTACACACAGAAGCTGCCTATGGAACAGAGACAGACCGATGGCCTGACTCACCCAGTATGTGTCTACAGAGACTCACCCAGTATGTTGCTATAGAGACTCACCCAGTATCTGTCTATAGAGACTCACCCAGTATGCGTTTGTAGAAGGACCTGGTCAAGTACACACTGAGAAGTTGCCTATGGAAGAGCGCGAGCCCGATGGCCTGACTCACCCAGTATGTAGCTATAGAGACTCACCCAGTATGTGTTTGTAGAAGGACCTGGTGAAGTACACACTGAGAAGCTGCCTGTGGAAGAGAGCGAGACCGATGGCCTGACTCACCCAGTATGTAGCTATAGAGACTAACCCAGTATGTGTTTGTGGAAGGACCTGGTGAAGTACACACTGAGAAGCTGCCAGTGGGAGAGAGCGAGACCGATGGCCTGACTCACCCAGTATGTGGCTATAGTGACTCACACAGTATGTTAGTATAGAGACTCACCCAGTATGTGTCTATCATGACTAACCCAGTATATTGCTATATAGACTTACCCAGTATGTTGCTATATAGACTCACCCAGTATGCTGTTATAGAGACTCACCCAGTATGCTGTTATAGAGACTCACCCAGTATGTTGCTATAGAGACTCACCCAGTATGCTGTTACAGAGACTCACCCAGTATGCGTTTGTAGAAGGACCTGGTCAAGTACACACTGAGAAGCTGCCTATGGAAGAGCGTGAGCCCGATGGCCTGACTCACCCAGTATGTAGCTATAGAGACTCACCCAGTATGTGTTTGTGGAAGGACCTGGTGAAGTACACACTGAGAAGCTGCCAGTGGGAGAGAGCGAGACCGATGGCCTGACTCACCCAGTATGTGGCTATAGTGACTCACACAGTATGTTAGTATAGAGACTCACCCAGTATGTGTCTATCATGACTATGTGGCTATAGTATATTGCTATAGAGACTCACCCAGTATGTGTCTATTGCAGTATATTGCTATATAGACTCACCCAGTATGCTGTTATGCTGTTATAGAGACTCACCCAGTATGTGTCTATAGAGACTCACCCAGTATGCTGTTATAGAGACTCACCCAGTATGTTGCTATAGAGACTCACCCAGTATGCTGTTACAGAGACTCACCCAGTATGTGTTTGTAGAAGGACCTGGTGAAGCACACACTGAGCAGCTGCCTGTGGAAGAGAGCGAGACCGATGGCCTGACTCACCCAGTATGTTGCTATAGAGACTCACCCAGTATGTGTTTGTAGAGACTCACCCAGTATGTAGCTATAGAGACTCACCCAGTATGTGTTTGTAGAGACTCACCCAGTATGTTGCTATAGAGACTCACCCAATATGTAGCTATAGAGACTCACCCAGTATGTGTCTATAGAGACTCACCCAGTATGTGTTTGTAGAAGGACCTGGTGAAGTACACACTGAGCAGCTGCCTGTGGAAGAGAGCGAGACCGATGGCCTGACTCACCCAGTATGTGTCTAGAGAGACTCACCCAGTATGTGTTTGTAGAGACTCACCCAGTATGTGTCTATAGAGACTCACCCAATATGTAGCAATAGAGACTCACCCAGTATGTGTCTATAGAGACTCACCCAGTATGTGTCTATAGAGACTCACCCAGTATGTGTCTATAGAGACTCACCCAGTATGTGTCTATAGAGACTCACCCAGTATGTTGCTATAGAGACTCACCCAGTATGTGTCTATAGAGACTCACTCAGTATGTAGCTATAGACACTCACCCAGTATGCGTTTGTAGCAGGACCTGGTGAAGTACACACAGAAGCTGCCTATGGAACAGAGACAGACCGATGGCCTGACTCACCCAGTATGTGTCTACAGAGACTCACCCAGTATGTTGCTATAGAGACTCACCCAGTATCTGTCTATAGAGACTCACCCAGTATGCGTTTGTAGAAGGACCTGGTCAAGTACACACTGAGAAGTTGCCTATGGAAGAGCGTGAGCCCGATGGCCTGACTCACCCAGTATGTAGCTATAGAGACTCACCCAGTATGTGTTTGTAGAAGGACCTGGTGAAGTACACACTGAGAAGCTGCCTGTGGAAGAGAGCGAGACCGATGGCCTGACTCACACAGTATGTTGCTATAGAGACTCACCCAGTATGTTGGTATAGAGACTCACCCACTATGTTGCTATAGAGACTCACCCAGTATGTTGGTATAGAGACTCACCCAGTATGTTGGTATAGAGACTCACCCAGTATGTTGGTATAGAGACTCACCCAGTATGTTGCTATAGAGACTCACCCACTATGTTGTTATAGACTCACCCAGTATGTGTCTATAGAGACTCACCCAGTATGTTGCTATAGAGACTCACCCAGTATGTGTCTATAGAGACTCACTCAGTATGTAGCTATAGACACTCACCCAGTATGCGTTTGTAGAAGGACCTGGTGAAGTACACACAGAAGCTGCCTATGGAACAGAGACAGACCGATGGCCTGACTCACCCAGTATGTGTCTACAGAGACTCACCCAGTATGTTGCTACAGAGACTCACCCAGTATCTGTCTATAGAGACTCACCCAGGATGCGTTTGTAGAAGGACCTGGTCAAGTACACACTGAGAAGCTGCCTATGGAAGAGCGCGAACCCGATGGCCTAACTCACCCAGTATGTAGCTATAGAGACTCACCCAGTATGTGTTTGTAGAAGGACCTGGTGAAGTACACACTGAGAAGCTGCCTGTGGAAGAGAGGGAGACCGATGGCCTGACTCACACAGTATGTTGCTATAGAGACTCACCCAGTATGTTGGTATAGAGACTCACCCACTATGTTGCTATAGAGACTCACCCAGTATGTTGGTATAGAGACTCACCCAGTATGTTGGTATAGAGACTCACCCAGTATGTTGGTATAGAGACTCACCCACTATGTTGCTATAGAGACTCACCCACTATGTTATTATAGAGACTCACCCAGTATGTGTCTACAGAGACTCACCCAGTATGTGTTTGTAGAAGGACCTGGTGAAGTACACACTGAGCAGCTGCCTGTGGAAGAGAGCGAGACCGATGGCCTGACCGGCAAAGCGGAAGTAACTGAGGTGGTCTGGGTTGATGGAGGAGTTGCTGTTTGGCTGGAATGTACAGCCTGAAACCATGGCAACACAATGACAACACTGCAACACACTTGTGTACACATGCATGCTGGATACAAGCTCACAACAGTTTGGACTGCTGCAGATTATTGGAAACTTAGTTGGGACAAAATTACAATATTCTCCTAATATGAACCCAAAACAAAGGTTCCTTGACTTCAGTAATATCTGCTGATAGCATACATTAATCAATGGTGTGGAACAACTGACTGAACTATTAGTGTATTGTAACTTCACAATGGGGGTGAGTAAGTATGGCTTTACACTGCTTTTAGCAATATTCCAGCAATATCATGGTGGGGGACATCAGAAATGGGCTTCACTCATTGTATCCGAGTGGGGAATGAAACCAAGATCTTTGGCTTGATTAGGGTGGTGGTGGTGGAATTGGGTTTAACGTCGTGCTTGAGAATATTTCGCTCATATGACGACGTGCATGCGTGTGTATGTGTATGTGCGGCTGCTTATACTAGCCCAGACTGAAGCTGGTTTATAGTGCTAGCCCACTGAGATACCATGCCGCAGTGAAGCATGAATACCCCACTCAGACACATTATACTGACTCCGAGCCGACCAGTCCTTGTTGTACCCATTAATGCCGAGCGCCAGGCAGGGACCAACAAGTACCATATTTTAACGTCTTTTGGTATGACGCGGTCGGGGATCGAACCCGCGACCTTCCGCACTCCGGGCTGACGCTCTAACCACTACACCACGGAGGCGGTCGCTTGATTAGGGAACCTTTTAACCCCTAAGCAACCCTACTATTCTCACTTAGAAAATCTTGGACGTCAATACCATGCCAGACAAAACAGTTTCAAGTGATATCATATACTGAAGGGAACATCTGAAAGTACAAGTGTTCTTTATTCTTTTCCAGGTTTATTTGCTTGGCATTGTGGGTGAAAATCTGGGAATGTATAAAGGAACACTACGATGAAGTGGTGTTCCCTTATTTGTTTCACTCAGCATATATATTAGCTATGCAGGAGACACACAACACAACACTACAGCTTACCGTCTGCTGATTGTGTGAAGAGAGCATAGTCAGCATTCAGTATCTCCCGTGACAGAACATCAAACCATTCTCGCACCACACCGTGACCCTGTCATCAGAAAGTGAAAGAGTTCGACTGTGAAACTGCATCCAAGGCAAATGTGATAATTCAAACAATGGAATTCCTTTTGTCATTTCCTGCCTTGTCTTTCAGGAAAATGTGGGAATGTGGGAATACAGGAGGTTGTGTCAGGACTGATTAATCAGGCTATTAGCGTCAATGCTTCTAAATAATTCTTATTTTAAAACTTCTGACTACAGAACAGTGGCGCTCTATTATATGATACATCCTGTAGTTTTTGAGAGCGATGGCATTTACTGCAGAGAGGGAGTGCCATCAAGATCAATGGAACATTTCTGTTATTGGTAAAAGTTCTTTTGATAAAATAAAACAAAATCTAGATGATAAAATAATGTTTTCTACATAGCATCCATTTTGTGTGTACACATTCGTGTACATTGGATTAACATGTCTGAATCATGTTAAACACAAAACACCCTATGAGCTATTCAAATAATAGTCTTATAGTGTTGCAGTCATTTGCTTCGATTGTGAAGTGATCTCCAGAGCTCCAGATAAGATTTAGCTCATGTGGGTACTGTACCCACTGTATTTTGTTGGAGTGGGTATTATGAATGTTGAGTGGGTATTTCATTTTCCGTTACCCACAATTTTCATATATGTGCGTATTTCAGTCATTTTACTCACCTAAGTATGGTGTCATTGAGTAAGTTTACTAAGCAGGTATGTTCTGCCTTATGTCATACCTAATCAAAACCAACTTAAATATAATGGACATGATTTCATAAAAAATCACTGATCCTATACTGACAGTACAACACTAGTCATATACTAACAGTACAGCTTGATAGCAATCGATGTCTTTTTCATTGCGCAAGCGATTTTTATAAATATATTCCGTACGCATTTGTTTTAAAGTTTTTGCATATCTAACATTTTTAATGCGTAGTTGGTACACAACAATTATTTTTCAATGCGTAAATGGAAATTTTCTATGCGTATTTTACCCGGATACGCAGCTTATCTGGGCCTCTGATCTCCATATTGATTCTAGACAGTGTACATATTATAAGTGAGTATATTGGGCACAAATTCAGATGACTGCTCTCATCTTCATATGACAAATTTTTATTAAAATTTGAGAATTTTGCTTTTGAGATAAATTTTGAAATAAACTTGTAATAACAATACAAACAATGATGATTTGTTGAGTAATTTATTCATGTAACATTGTGCTCATCCATGAAGGAAGACTTGATGCATCCTACTCACCATGCCTTCCTCGCCATTGAAGCGTACGGCCAGGTTGACCTTGAGGCGAGACGGGTTTTGGTTGATGATTTCCGCACAACTGCTGTGGAACAGTCGATCTACAAAACAAATCGTTTTTTGTGAATTGATATTTTAACTGTATCAGTTATAATTTATTATCTTAAACATGTTATAAATATTTTCAATAAAAATAACAGACATGGTTTTACTTTATAACCATATAGAGTAATGTTTACGTGTAGCATTAGCACATTTTAGGGAACGTAAAACTGTTTCCTCAAGAATAGCAGAACAGTGTTAGATGCAGCTTGTAAACTTTACAATACATGTAATGACATTAGACTTGTGCTAACAGTAATAACTGAAACTTCATTACTGTACCTGCCTGAACTTGACGTTTCACAACAGCCAATCATATCACAAAATCACTTTATGTTTACAATAAAGGTCATCAGGTGACTGAATATTTTACACGCACTATTTCAGAAAATGACTAGACTGGCCATTGTGAACATTGTCAAGCATAAAACTGTTCAAAATTGTCAACAAAAGTTAGAATGAGCGTCCTTCAAAATGTTTGAAGGAGTGTGTTTCATAGTTACAGACGAGAAGGAATTAGGACCCCTCAGACCTGGGTACCTGAGTCCCACTTAGGACCCCACTGAGCAGGGTACCTGAGTCCTACTTCGGCCTCACCGAGCAGGGTACCTGAGTCCCACTTAGGACCCCACTGAGCAGGGTACCTGAGTCCTACTTCGGCCTCACCGAGCAGGGTACCTGAGTCCTACTTCGGCCTCACCGAGCAGGGTACCTGAGTCCCACTTAGGACCCCACCGAGCAGGGTACCTGAGTCCTACTTCGGCCTCACCGAGCAGGGTACCTGAGTCCTACTCCGGCCTCACCGAGCAGAGGATATGAGTCCTCCTTCGGCCTCAAAATTATACTATGCCCACCTCTCTTGACTGTCAGGACAGGGATTTCGGGATCTACATCTGACGTATTCACTTGGGTCTTCAAGTTGGTGTAAAACCATTCACGGCGAACTTCAAAATGCTGAAAGCATCACAGTATTGAATGAGACAATTGACTACAATCCATAACAAAATGGCATTTGGTAAACGATTTAGATTCAAAGGTAGTCCAACACAACAATCATTAGCGTCCGAAGGTTGTGTTTTCGATATTTCAAATTTAAACACATTACATGTTGATGTGGTCAATATTTCAGGCTGAAATGATATGTCTGACGTATGTCTGACGTATGTCAACACATGTTGAAAACATTATTGCCAGAAATGTCCAGTTATAAATCACATCCTTGCATGATAAACAGTAGGGATGTTTATAGATTATAACCCCAGTCATCAAACTTCAAAGTCTAACCTGTGTTTTATTGGCAGGCTGTTTACTGGGCTAAATACATGATATACAGTCAGGACGTTTATGGATTATGATCCCTGTCATCAAAGTCTAACCTGTGTTTTATTGGTGGGCTGTTTACAGGGCTAAATACATGATATACAGTAAGGACGTTTATGAATTATAATCCCTGTTATCAAAGTCCAACCTGAGCTCTGATGGTGGGCTGTTTACAGGGCTAAATACATGATATACAGTAAGGACGTTTATGAATTATAATCCCTGTTATCAAAGTCCAACCTGAGCTCTGATGGTGGGCTGTTTACAGGGCTAAATACATGATATACAGTAAGGACGTTTATGAATTATAATCCCTGTTATCAAAGTCCAACCTGTGTTTTATTGGTGGGCTGTTTACAGGGCTAAATACATGATATACAGTAAGGACGTTTATGAATTATAATCCCTGTTATCAAAGTCCAACCTGAGCTCTGATGGTGGGCTGTTTACAGGGCTAAATACATGATATACAGTAAGGGCGTTTATGAATTATAATCCCTGTTATCAAAGTCCAACCTGAGCTCTGATGGTGGGCTGTTTACAGGGCTAAATACATGATATACAGTAAGGGCGTTTATGAATTATAATCCCTGTTATCAAAGTCCAACCTGAGCTCTGATGGTGGGCTGTTTACAGGGCTAAATACATGATATACAGTAAGGGCGTTTATGAATTATAATCCCTGTTATCAAAGTCCAACCTGAGCTCTGATGGTGGGCTGTTTACAGGGCTAAATACATGATATACAGTAGGGGCGTTTATGAATTATAATCCCTGTTATCAAAGTCCAACCTGAGCTCTGATGGTGGGCTGTTTACAGGGCTAAATACATGATATACAGTAAGGGCGTTTATGAATTATAATCCCTGTTATCAAAGTCCAACCTGAGCTCTGATGGTGGGCTGTTTACAGGGCTAAATACATGATATACAGTAAGGACGTTTATGAATTATAATCCCTGTTATCAAAGTCCAACCTGAGCTCTGATGGTGGGCTGTTTACAGGGCTAAATACATGATATACAGTAAGGACGTTTATGAATTATAATCCCTGTTATCAAAGTCCAACCTGAGCTCTGATGGTGGGCTGTTTACAGGGCTAAATACATGATATACAGTAAGGACGTTTATGAATTATAATCCCTGTTATCAAAGTCCAACCTGAGCTCTGATGGTGGGCTGTTTACAGGGCTAAATACATGATATACAGTAAGGATGGTTATGGATTATAATCCCAGTTATCAAAGTCTAACCTGTGCTCTGATGGTGGGCTGTTTACAGGGCTAAATACATGATATACAGTAAGGGCGTTTATGAATAATAATCCCTGTTATCAAAGTCCAACCTGAGCTCTGATGGTGGGCTGTTTACAGGGGGCTAAATACATGATATACAGTAAGGATGGTTATGGATTATAATCCCAGTTATCAAAGTCTAACCTGTGCTCTGATGGTGGGCTGTTTACAGGGCTAAATACATGATATACAGTAAGGGCGTTTATGAATAATAATCCCTGTTATCAAAGTCCAACCTGAGCTCTGATGGTGGGCTGTTTACAGGGCTAAATACATGATATACAGTAAGGATGGTTATGGATTATAATCCCAGTTATCAAAGTCTAACCTGTGCTCTGATGGTGGGCTGTTTACAGGGCTAAATACATGATATACAGTAAGGGCGTTTATGAATAATAATCCCTGTTATCAAAGTCCAACCTGAGCTCTGATGGTGGGCTGTTTACAGGGCTAAATACATGATATACAGTAAGGATGGTTATGGATTATAATCCCAGTTATCAAAGTCTAACCTGTGCTCTGATGGTGGGCTGTTTACAGGGCTAAATACATGATATACAGTAAGGACGTTTATGAATTATAATCCCTGTTATCAAAGTCCAACCTGAGCTCTGATGGTGGGCTGTTTACAGGGCTAAATACATGATATACAGTAAGGACGTTTATGAATTATAATCCCTGTTATCAAAGTCCAACCTGAGCTCTGATGGTGGGCTGTTTACAGGGCTAAATACATGATATACAGTAAGGATGGTTATGGATTATAATCCCAGTTATCAAAGTCTAACCTGTGCTCTGATGGTGGGCTGTTTACAGGGCTAAATACATGATATACAGTAAGGACGTTTATGAATAATAATCCCTGTTATCAAAGTCCAACCTGAGCTCTGATGGTGGGCTGTTTACAGGGCTAAATACATGATATACAGTAAGGATGGTTATGGATTATAATCCCAGTTATCAAAGTCTAACCTGTGCTCTGATGGTGGGCTGTTTACAGGGCTAAATACATGATATACAGTAAGGACGTTTATGAATAATAATCCCTGTTATCAAAGTCCAACCTGAGCTCTGATGGTGGGCTGTTTACAGGGCTAAATACATGATATACAGTAAGGATGGTTATGGATTATAATCCCAGTCATCAAAGTCTAACCTGAGCTCTGATGGTGGGCTGTTTACAGGGCTAAATACATGACATACAGTAAGGATGGTTATGGATTATAATCCCAGTCATCAAAGTCCAACCTGAGCTCTGATGGTGGGCTGTTTACAGGGCTAAATACATGACATACAGTAAGGATGGTTATGGATTATAATCCCAGTTATCAAAGTCTAACCTGTGCTCTGATGGTGGGCTGTTTACAGGGCTAAATACATGATATACAGTAAGGACGTTTATGAATAATAATCCCTGTTATCAAAGTCCAACCTGAGCTCTGATGGTGGGCTGTTTACAGGGCTAAATACATGATATACAGTAAGGACGTTTATGAATTATAATCCCTGTTATCAAAGTCTAACCTGAGCTCTGATGGTGGGCTGTTTACAGGGCTAAATACATGATATACAGTAAGGACGTTTATGAATAATAATCCCTGTTATCAAAGTCCAACCTGAGCTCTGATGGTGGGCTGTTTACAGGGCTAAATACATGATATACAGTAAGGATGGTTATGGATTATAATCCCAGTTATCAAAGTCTAACCTGTGCTCTGATGGTGGGCTGTTTACAGGGCTAAATACATGACATACAGTAAGGATGGTTATGGATTATAATCCCAGTTATCAAAGTCTAACCTGTGTTTAGTTGGTGGGCTGTTTACAGGGCAAAATACATGATATACAGTCAGGATGGTTATGGATTATAATCCCAGTCATCAAAGTCCAACCTGAGCTCTGATGGTAGGCTGTTTACAGGGCTAAATACATGATATACAGTCAGGACGTTTATGGATTATGATCCCTGTTATCAAAGTCTAACCTGTGTTTAGTTGGTGGGCTGTTTACAGGGCAAAATACATGATATACAGTCAGGACTTTTATGAATTATAATCCCAGTCATCAAAGTCTAACCTGTGTTTAGTTGGTGGGCTGTTTACAGGGCTAAATACATGATATACAGTCAGGACGTTTATGGATTATGATCCCTGTTATCAAAGTCTAACCTGTGTTTAGTGGGGGGCTGTTTACAGGGCAAAATACATGATATACAGTCATCACGTTTATGAATTATAATCCCAGTCATCAAAGTCCAACCTGAGCTCTGATGGTAGGCTGTTTACAGGGCTAAATACATGATATACAGTAATCATGTTAATGAATTATAATCCCAGTCATCAAAGTCTAACCTGAGCTCTGATGGTAGGCTGTTTACAGGGCTAAATACATGATATACAGTAATCATGTTAATGAATTATAATCCCAGTCATCAAAGTCTAACCTGAGCTCTGATGGTAGGCTGTTTACAGGGCTAAATTCATGATATACAGTAATCATGTTAATGAATTATAATCCCAGTCATCAAAGTCTAACCTGAGCTCTGATGGTAGGCTGTTTACAGGGCTAAATTCATGATATACAGTAATCATGTTAATGAATTATAATCCCAGTCATCAAAGTCTAACCTGAGCTCTGATGGTAGGCAGGAAGTAGACCATGAGGTCATGACAGTGCAGCAGGAAATTGAAGTGCTGGAAGATCACTCCAGGCTCTCTGTCAGGAAACAATTCAACATGAGTCACATCCACATTCTACACAAAATGTCTAAAACATCCTCCAGCTAAGCACTGAGATATTTATAACAATATTCTACATCAAGACCATCATGATTTCAATTGTTACACACTTGTATTTGACTGGATGCTAGTGTCGTGAGTATGTAGTGTTAAAATAGGTTCTCATTAGTGAAAGAGGAAATTATCAACTAAACCTAGAAGTGTTTTAACTGTGACTTACAAGTCACAAACATTGTGTACATTCTTTAGAACACTGTGAGTGGATTATCATGAAAGTCATGATTTTGTTAAATGGCACATTCACACATTCATGGTATGGACCAACATTATAAATTAAGTAGTATTATGCCCGTTAAAGGCACCCTTAAAAATAATGTGCATATTTATAACGTACCTTTTCCAGGCTAGATTTCCTGCTCAAAGCGCACAATCTGATCATTATTAGCCCAGATAACCCTAGCTGCCTGTTAGGTGCTAGAAAGTTAATAGTCTCACGACTTATTTAACTGGGTACCCATTTTCTGCTGGGTGAACAGAGGCAATTTTGAACAAACTCACTTGCCTAAGGTGTGACCACATGTATCAGATGTGCTTCTAGAAACTCTCAGGAGTCAAGCTGCCGAACACAGTCACCCATCAAAGACTTTAAAAAAGTAACTTGTCCTGACTAATTTTCCACTTGCCCTGATTTTATGAAATAATCATGATGATGTAATTATGAAAGAATAAATCAACATGGTATTTGATGTTAATGTTTACTGGACTATTTATTGAAAAGTGATAAATAGCAAAGAAAGATAACTCTACTTTATTATCATTGCGAAATTTAATAGCTACATTTTGAGCAGATATGAAATTAAATCCAAGTTTATTTGCAGTTTAAAACCATAGGTGGAAATTATCTAGTAGCCCACGGACAAGTAAGATACCATTATTTGATTGCCCGAAATGAAAACTGACTTGTCCCGGGCGTCGGGCAATGGGATTTTTGAACCCCTGCACCTCCACACCAGTAATCCATGCCAGGATTACTGTACATGGCGGACCATCATCAGACTGAGGAGATGTGTCCACCAGTCTGGTCAGTCCTGGATATGGAGGACCGAGAATGACCACCTGCAAATTGACCATCACCTATGCATCCAGATGCTCAGTGATGTCATCAGCATTAACTGCAATTGGTCATTGCATCCTCATTAACAAAGTGATGAGCCGACTCTGTTCTGTGGGAGTGAGTGAGTATGGTTTTACGCCGCTTTTTGCCATATTCCAGCAATATCACGGCGGGGGACACCAGCAATGGGCTTCACTCATTGTGCCCATGTGGGATTCGAACCGGGTCTTCGGCGTGATGAGTGAACGCTTTAACCACTAGGCTACCCCACCGCCCTGTTCTGTGGGAAGCAGAGCCTATTGACCATTACGGAGCACATCATCCACCCTTCTTCACTGACTGAATCACTTACATTGGGCTAGCACATAAGGTGCTGGTAATGTCAGAATTTGGTTCATATCTGTACACATGAACACAATGTTTGTGACTTGTATTTTGTAAGTCACAATCACAGCACTTCAGACCCGATGAGATGAACTGACTAAAAACAAGATGTAGATCTTACTTTGCTACCAACATCTTCAACACATCAAGATGTTTCAGGAGAAACTCTGTGAAGTTCGGCTGAGGTGTGCTGAGCCTGTGAAGGTAACCACCATGAAATCAGTACAAGACAAAGACACTGATGAGTCATACTGACAGAGGGTACACATGCAAGATGCTGGCAGATTCAGGGATGACATTTAAGTGTTGTGACAAAAAAGGATTGTGACAGATGTGTAAATGTGTTGTCTGGAGTTGCTCATTATATGATTTTCTCACCAAAACTTGAGCCTGAAAACTTGAGCCTGAAAGCTGAAAAAAAAGATGACGGCATCTGACAAATGTTAACTGCCCAGATAGAAATTTGCCAATTTCCTTCTCGAGAGTGTTAAGATTTTGAAACAGACCAAATTATCTGTCAGTCAAATCTCACCCATCATTATAGCATCCTGGTATTGTAATGCCACCTGTGAACTACATGCTGGTGTAGTGTCAGTAGTGAGTGAGTGAGTTAGTTTTATGCTTTTAGCAATATTCCAGCAATATCACGGCGGGGGACACCAGAAATGGGCTTCACACATTGTACTCATATGGGGAATCGAACATGTCTTCAGCGTGACGAGCAAACAGTTTAACCACAAGGCTATCCAGCTGCCCGCAGTGTCAGTAGCACACACATAAACATTTCATGTATTTTCATAAAAGCTAGCAATGTCTATGGTAAGGTATTTTATCAGTCACAAATCTGTCACTCAGATGCATTTCTACAATCATGTCAGCTTATAGGAATTCTAAACACATGTTATTCATATAGTTTACATGCTGGGAGTAGTCAACACAACCATCAGACACATGTGAATGAAAACAGCCCATATCGGACAGCCCAGGCAGGTATTGCCTACGCTGATGAAGTACTGTATTTACTCTATTAAGCGTCAGGCCACAACATTGTGACAACAAAAATGGGCGTCCACAGATTAACGTTGTAACAACGAAAGCGTAACGTTGTGACAACATAAATAGGAGTCCACTGATTAACGTTGTAACAACGAAAGCGTAACGCTGCGTTGTGACAACATAAATAGGAGTCCACAGAATAGCGTTGTGACAACATAAATAGGAGTCCACAGAATAGCCGAAAAGCATAACGTTGTAACAACATAAATAGGAGTCCACAGAATAGTGTTGTAACAACGAAAGCATAACGTTGTGACAACGTTGTGACAACATAAATAGGAGTCCACAGAATAATGTTGTAACAACGAAAGCATAACGTTGTGACAACGTTGTGACAACATAAATAGGAGTCCACAGAATAATGTTGTAACAACGAAAGCATAGCATTGTAACAGCGACAACATAAATAGGAGTCCAGAATAACGTTGTAACAACGAAGCATAAGCGTTGTGACAACATAAATGGAGTCCACAGAATAATGTTGTAACAACGAAAAGCATAACGCTAGACAACGCTAGACAACATAAATAGAGTCCACAGAATATGTTGTAACAACGAAAGCATAAGTCCACGTTGTGACAACATAAATAGGAGTCCACAGAAGACGCTAGACAATTGTGACAACATAAATAGGAGTCCACAGAATAATGTTGTAACGAACAGCATAACGTTAGACAACGTTGTGAACAACAGAATAAGCGTTGAAAGCATAACGCTATGTGACAACATAAATAGGAGTCCACAGAATAACGTTGTAACAACGAAAATAACGCTATGTGACATAAATAGGAGTCCACATAAACAACGCTGTGACAACATAAACAGGAGTCCACAGAATAATGTTGTAACAACGTAAAAATAACGCGTTGTGGCTGCGGTGATAACGCTATGTGACAACATAAATAGGAGTCCACAGAATAATGTTGTAACAACGAAAGAATAACGTTGTGACAACGTTGAGACAACATAAATAGGAGTCCACAGAATAATGTTGTAACAACGAAAGCATAACGTTGTGACAACGTTGTGACAACATAAATAGGAGTCCACAGAATAGCGTTGTAACAACGTTGAACGTTGTGAAGCATAAATAACGCTAACAATGATAACGCTAGACAACATAAATAGGAGTCCACAGAATAATGTTGTAACAACGAAAGCATAACGTTGTGACAACATTAGACACCATAAATAGGAGTCCACAGAAATGTAAGTCCATAACGCGTTGTGACAATAGACAACATAAAAAGTCCACAGAATAATGTTGTAACAACAAAAGCATAACGTTGTGACAACATAAATAGGAGTCCACAGAATAACGTTGTAACAACAAAAGCATAACGCTGTTACATCGTTGTGACAACATGAAATTGTTTGCTGGGATACTGGAGAAAAAGAAATGATTCAACCTAAAGTCTTACGTCAGCTGTGCCTTTCCCACATTACAGATGTAACATGCGTTGATGAGGGCACACACACGGGGGAACACTCCAGTCACCAGGTCCTCTTCCTGTGCAGGGAATGCTGGGAATCTGGTCGGTACACTTCCTGGTTCAGCTATAACTGGTTTGCTGTCTGATGCCTTTGTGTCTTTGCTCGAAGTTCTCATTGTGTCTTCCTGTTCTGTGACCTTTGGCACATCCTGAGTGTTGGTTAAAGTTGGTGAGACAGTGGAATTTGTCTTGGTAGACTTTTTGGTGTCAGTCATCTCAACCTTCAGAAGTATCAGCCAGTCCTCCAGCAACTGCCACAGTCCCTCTAGCGGCTGAAACAGCAGGAGAATGTTGTTTAAAGGAGCAGTTAGTACTTGCCTGTAAATAATCAATTTTGAGTCATATACCGAGGTGAGGTGAAATTGGGTTTAATGTCGTGCTTGAGAATATTTCGCTCATATGACGACGTGCATGCGTGCGTATGTGTATGTGCGGCTGCTTGTACTAGCCCAGACTGAAGCTGGTTTATAGTGCTAGCCCACTGAGATACCATGCTGCACTGAAGCATGAATACCCCACTCAGACACGTTATACTGACTCCGAGCCGACCAGTCCTTGTTGTACCCATTAATGCCGAGGCGCCAGGCAGGGACCAACAAGTACTAATGTCTTTTGGTATGACACGGTCGGGGATCGAACCCGCGACCTTCCGCTCTCCGGGCGGACGCTCTAACCACTACACCACGGAGGCGGTCTCATATACCGAGGGGATGACTGCAAGAGCAACATGAGTTTAGCTTTACATCGCTTTTAGCAATATTCCAGCAATATCAAGGCGAGGGACACCAGAAATGGCCTTCACACATTGTAGACACTGCCTGCAGGAGCAACAATCAATGTAGGAGTATGTAGTTAGGAGTATGTACAGCATACAGGTCACAAATCAGGGAACGATAAGCAATGTTTGTTGTGGAAAGTAGGAATATGGGTGACTGTGCTGGGTAGCCTGACTCCTGAGAGGTTCTATGGCATCAGTCCTGCATAATACTGTGTCACATTTTACATTACCCCTTAGACAGGAGATTTTCCTTAAAATACTATTTTCAACTCCCTTAGAAGGACACAAACCAATTAGTCCATGAGGCATGAGAAGGTTAACGGTTGCCCTCTGGTCCTATCGGGTACCCTTTCCCAGCTGGGTGAACAAGGGCATATTTTAGATCCAGATACCAGGGTAATAATGATGTAGTGTTATAAGTGTAAATTTAGTGACTGGAATCTGATGCACAAGAAATGGATTCTTGGTCTTCATATGTTTATTATTACAATTATTATCATCATCATCATCATTATTACATGGGTAACATGACAAGAATAGGGCATGTGGGAGCGGCAGATATTGACATACTTTCCTGGGTACAGAGTCTTGCATAGTATAAGCATCCTGCATTTGACCACCAAAATATTCCCGGGTAAATCTTGAGACTTTTCTGCTCAAGTATCTCAATGGAAAGTGAGTGAGTGAGTGAGTTTGATTTTACGCCGCTTTTAGCAATATTCCAGCAATATCACGGCGGGGGACACCAGAAATGGGCTTCACACATTATGCCCATGTGGGGAATCGAACCCGGGTCTTCGGAGTGACGAGCCTCAATGGACAGAGTCACATGGGAAGTAGATTAACACCACTGACACGAACATTACCTCCAATGGGTCCTCGGGGATGCTTTGTGATCGGTCACACTTGGTCACAGGTATGTCCTTGAGACTGCCCACAGACGCTGTCCGCTGTCGGGTCAGGAGGTGAGACAGGGCATGTGCACACTTCAGGAGGCTGGTGATGTCGACCTCTGCATCTGTGTTCATGCTGCTGTAACAGACCATTTGTTTAATTGTGTCTGATGCGCAGAGTTATCAAGTGGTGATTATAAGAATGAGCGAGTGTGTTCAGTTTTTTTTAGCAATATTCCAGCAATATCACGGCAGGAGGACACCATTGTACCCATGTGGGGAATTGAACCTGGGTCTTCAGCGTGCCGAGCTAACGCTTTATCAGGCAACCCCACTGCTCCGGTGATTATAAGAGCTATAACACATATCTATATGAACACTTGACCTGTACAAGCTAATTAGCTAACTATATGCTACCATCATAATCGTGGCAAACTACCAGGCAGGTGTATCGGTAACATGTTAGACCGTCCTGACAGGACACGGACGACATGAAAAATACTTTCATGAAATTGTAACTTATAGATATGCTACCCCCCTTCTACAGGCTGCTTTTTTTGGTCCTCACAATTTAAACAAACCTGTAGAGGTTTTCAATTCTTTGAAGAGAGTCGTCCTTGGGGTAGGGCCACCCGCCCCCCCTGCAATTCTGTTCACTGATTTATTCAGCAGAAGGAATGATGATACGGGCCTGAGTGCTTACCTGGTTGGCTGCGCATGCGTAGCGGGAGGTAACTCCACGGGGTGGGGGCCGTATAATAGATAAAAAAGATTTTATTTATTGTACAATATTTTTATTAAAACATTGATACAACTGTCACAGGACATTTTCAGCGCAGAAAATGCATATATGTACCCCAAGGACGATCTCTATGAAAAAGAATCGGCTTATCTACGGTAATATACGGTAATTAAATTGTGTCTCTCCTTTCTAATGTTCCTGAGTCTGAGAACACACTGATTTACTGACATCAACACTTGGCCTCCAACAAAGCCATGTATACAATAACTAAAGCTACTTAATACCTAAACCTGGATTATTGCAGGACTATAACAGACAGAACTTGATCAGGTTGTGTACAAAATGTTCCTCCATCACCCTTGAAAACACATAATAATGTAGTCACAATTAATTTGTGACCGTCTGCTCAACACATTGATTTCTGTCCTGTGACAAGAATGCCCAATAGATGCAAGTCTGCACAGCCAATTGATGTGCCTAAGAGTGAGTGAGTGAGTGAGTGAGTGAGTGAGTGAGTGAGTGAGTGAGTGAGTGAGTGAGTGAGTGAGTGAGTGAGAGTGAGTGAGTTGGGTTTTACGCCGCTTTTAGCAATATTCAAGCAATATCACGCTGGGGGATACCAGAAATGGGCTTCACACATTGTACCCATGTGGGTAATCGAACCCGGGCCTTTGGCGTAACGAGCCAATGCTAGGCCACCCCACCGCCCCGAGGCACCTAAGACGACTAGACTACATCATATTTCAGCTACACATATTTATGGGCGATGATTGGGAATATATGTATATAAATTTATGAATCACCAAGGATGTGTCCCATCCAAGTCTCAGTAGACCGTACTGTCCTTTACCTGAGAAGATGATGACCAATGACGGACATCTGCTCCGCCAGTCCGAACAGCACTCGGTCGAGCGTTGACGTGTCAGAACGTGTCAGGTAGACCAGAACCTTCTCCATCTGTACAAAACAGACAGACTGTCAGTGGAAGGTGACTGCAGTGACCTTTATTAATCGGGTACAATTTGTACTTGTAGCTGCTCCTAATAAACCATTTGATACATTTTCTTACATGAAATTTACTTAATCCATTATAACGCTACTTCGGGTAAGCTTTTTCCTAATAGATCCAAACATGACCAATCTTAAACAATGTCAATCGAGTTCATACATTTTCTTACATGAAATTTACTTAATCCATTGGTTCGTGAATTTCTGGGTCAGAATCAACAATATCAAGGAAGTAACAAAATGGTTTGAACAAAGACTTAAAATTATGCCAAACAAATATCCATAGCACATCTGAGAGTTGGATTGGTCATGTTACTATAGTGACCACCCAATGCCACTACAGTAACGCACAATCATCTGCTCCCCGACCTGGAACTGCCCAGAGACTCAGTAATAGGTTACCACACTGACCACCCAACGCCACTACAGTAACGCACAATCATCTGCTCCCCGGACCTGGAACTGCCCAGAGACTCAGTAATAGGTTACCACACTGACCACCCAACGCCACTACAGTAACGCACAATCATCTGCTCCCCGGACCTGGAACTGCCCAGAGACTCAGTAATAGGTTACCACACTGACCACCCAACTTAGTAATAGGCCACTGACCACCCAGTAATAGCACAATCATCTGCTCCCGGACCTGGAACTGCCCAGAGACTCAGTAATAGGTTACCACACTGACCACCCAATCTGCGCCACTACAGGTTACACGCACAATCATCTGCTCCCCGGACCTGGAACTGCCCAGAGACTCAGTAATAGGTTACCACACTGACCACCCAACGCCACTACAGTAGCGACAATCATCTGCGGACTGGAACTCAGTAATAGGTTACCACACTGACCACCCAACGCCACTACAGTAACGCACAATCATCTGCCCAGAGACTCAGTAATAGGTTACCACACTGACCACCCAACGCCACTACAGTAACGCACAATCATCTGCTCCCCGGACCTGGAACTGCCCAGAGACTTAGTAATAGGTTACCACACTGACCACCCAACGCCACTACAGTAACGCACAATCATCTGCTCCCCGGACCTGGAACTGCCCAGAGACTCAGTAATAGGTTACCACACTGACCACCCAACGCCACTACAGTAACGCACAATCATCTGCTCCCCGGACCTGGAACTGCCCAGAGACTTAGTAATAGGTTACCACACTGACCACCAACGCCACTACAGTGCTACAATCATCTGGACCTGGAACTGCCCAGAGACTCAGTAATAGGTTACCACACTGACCACCCAACGCCACTACAGTAGTAGCACAATCATCTGCTGCCCAGACCTGGAACTGCCCAGAGACTTAGTAATAGGTTACCACACTGACCACCCAACGCCACTACAGTAACGCACAATCATCTGCTCCCCGGACCTGGAACTGCCCAGAGACTCAGTAATAGGTTACCACACTGACCACCCAACGCCACTACAGTAGCACGCACAATCATCTGCTCCCTGGAACCAGAGAACAGTAATAGAGACAAGCGCCACTACAGTAGCACTTTCAGTAATCATCTGCTACTGGAACCAGAGACAGTAATAGGACCACCCAGCGCCACTACAGTAATGCGACAATCATCTGCTCCCGGACCTGGAACTGCCCAGAGACTCAGTAATAGGTTACCACACTGACCACCCAACGCCAATAGGTTACAGTAACGCAACAATCATCTGCTCCCGGACCTGGAACTGCCCAGAGACTCAGTAATAGGTTACCACACTGACCACCCAACGCCACTACAGTAACGCACAATCATCTGCTCCCGGACCTGGAACTGCCCAGAGACTCAGTAATAGGTTACCACACTGACCACCCAACGCCACTACAGTAAGCGACAATCAGACCTGGAACTGCCCAGAGACTCAATCATCATCTGCTCCCAGGACCTGGAACTGCCCAGAGACTCAGTAATAGGTTACCACACTGACCACGCCAACGCCACTACAGTAACGCACAATCATCTGCTCCCCGGACCTGGAACTGCCCAGAGACTCAGTAATAGGTTACCACACTGACCACCCAACGCCACTACAGTAACGCACAATCATCTGCTCCCCGGACCTGGAACTGCCCAGAGACTCAGTAATAGGTTACCACACTGACCACCCAACGCCACTACAGTAACGCACAATCATCTGCTCCCCGGACCTGGAACTGCCCAGAGACTCAGTAATAGGTTACCACACTGACCACCCAACGCCACTACGCGCGACAATCATCTGCTCCCCGGACCTGGAACTGCCCAGAGACTCAGTAATAGGTTACCACACTGACCACCCAACGCCACTACAGTAACGCACAATCATCTGCTCCCCGGACCTGGAACTGTCCAGAGACTCAGTAATAGGTTACCACACTGACCACCCAACGCCACTACAGTAATCATCATCTGCTCCCGGACCTGGAACTGCCCAGAGACTCAGTAATAGGTTACCACACTGACCACCCAACGCCACTACAGTAACGCACAATCATCTGCTCCCCGGACCTGGAACTGCCCAGAGACTCAGTAATAGGTTACCACACTGACCACCCAACGCCACTACAGTAACGCACTATCATCTGCTCCCCGGACCTGGAACTGCCCAGAGACTCAGTAATAGGTTACCACACTGACCACCCAACGCCACTACAGTAACGCACAATCATCTGCTCCCCGGACCTGGAACTGCCCAGAGACTCAGTAATAGGTTACCACACTGACCACCCAACGCCACTACAGTAACGCACAATCATCTGCTCCCCGGACCTGGAACTGCCCAGAGGATTAATGTTATGTTGCCACTGACCATGTCTCCCTTGATGAAGGGTCTCTGGACACTCTGGACGAGCTTGTCAAACAGCTTGGGTTGGTTCTGTAGCAACACCTCACACGTCTCACCATATCCTCCCTGGAAATACCATACTTGTCAAGGCAGAAATACAGGTGCATAAGTACTGTAAATCATGAAATTAATGTGTCACGAATTTAATGCGAGTGCGAGGGTCTAGTCTAAAGTGCGTCGTGAAATTAATGCGACCTCAGGAATCTGTGTTGATGATAAAATGTGACATCCTGAATCTTTGGTGTTGTTCTTTTTCTTTTCACACTTGTTATTTACCAAATAACCTGAATTGACCTTGTTAAGCAATGAAACGGAAATGAGCTGACAATATTTTGATTACGCTGCCATTTTTGATCACTTGATTGCTTGCTACTACTTGTCTTATGACAACATGTATAAACGTAATCCGACAATTACGTTTATACATGTTGTCATAAGACAAGTAGTAGCAAGCAATCACGTGATCAAACATGGCAGCGTAATCAAAACATTGTCAGCTCATTTCTGTTTCATTGCTTAACAAGGTCAATTCAGGTTATTTGGTAAATAACAAGTGTGAAAAGAAAAAGTCATCTACCAAGGTACAACAAACAAGTGGCTGGAGAATGTCCGGCCTGGCTGATGTGCTTGAGTGACTTTAAACAATGACCAGTGATAATTACATGTGGCTTGAGATACCTGTAATGAGGAAGTGACCTGTTACGTTTTCTGTCTTTTATTAAGTAGACATGGTCAGACTGAAATGCGTCATTATAATAATGCGAGAACAGTACAGACGCATTTTGCGCATTAATAAAATGCTCGCATTAATTTCATGATTTACAGTAATTATGGTTCTGGGCTCTGTTCCCACAAAGCGATCGTAGCGCTACGACAGTCGAAAGTCTATGTAACAGTATGGGAGTTACGATCATCTTAGCGCTACGATCGCTTTGAGGAAGGCCCTGGCACAGTGTGTATCACAAAAACACAAACACTGTAAAATTTCTGTATTGTACAAATCCAGTAAAAATTATATCTTTCGGATTTGATTTCAAGATATTTTTATATTTAACAACCAAATCTAATTGGGTAAACAAGCAAAACAACACTTCCACAAATACCACTTCAGGAAAAGCAGGTTACAGTTGGTAACTGTATTTAAACATGTTTTGCTGAATATATGTATATATACATGTATAATACTGTAAACGTACTTATTTTTCTCGTGGTGCAATTTTCGCGGAATTGACAGTTTAGACTACATCGCGCGGTCAATTATTCGCGCAATCAGTAATTGCCGGAACTGCCAGCTGTCTCTTTGGCCGCCACTAATAGCAGTGAAAACAAACAGAGTGGCTTACCCTGTCAGGCGGCGTTTATTGCTTACTCAAAGGAAATCCGTATCTGTGCGATATACTAGTACACAGTAATCCGTTTACTCCCGGAAGAGATGAAAAACACATCAGTCTTATGTTCCGAATTCTGACGATTTGACGAATTAACTTATACTGTATATGAAGCTCATTGTGATTTCAAACAAGCAGGGTTGTTGTGATTGAGATGATTGAGTGTTAGTGACTATTCGCTTCAAGATGTACTGGTAAATAAAATCTTAATGAATAAATAAAATACTGCTGTATTATTTCTTTTTCGAAGTCGCTTCACGGTAATCTGTTTTGTATCAAACCATCTGTCATGTGACCAATTTCCATGGCAGCCACAACACACACTGCTGTTTTCGCTAATTCGGCAATGGGATTTGGCTCATTATTTAATTATGTTTTGGGAAATCCATTACAGCGACAGTTAAGTTTGATCAGTCGTCATTTTAAGATTCCCGTTGATTTCTGTCTTCAAACGTGATGTGTTATGGTAACAACTCAGGGGCGAGCGTGGCTAGACTGAATGAATGACAGGTTTATTCGCGGTGTATAAATTTTCGGGCTAAAATGTTTTGCGTGAAAAGCGCAAAAATAAAACCTGCGCGAAATATAATACGTTTACAGTACATAAAATTAATCTGTAACCGTATGCTCAAGCTAGTGTCATCCCAGTTAAGGAATGCAGATAAGATGCGAGTACAGTCGAACCCCGTTTATCTGGACATTTTGGTTACACTCAGAAATCGTCCGGATAGCGAGGCGTCCGGTTAACTGGATCAAACAAGCAAAACGTATTGCCGATGTATATTGAAAATTTATTCACGTACATACATGTATATATCAATAAATCAATAGTCAATAAGCAAAAACAATTAATCCTAACATATACATAAGTGATCGTAAATGTACCAATAAACAGTCTTTCATCCCATTGACTCACATTACATCTTACTTCACTTCACTCAGTATCTTGACATTTCCCATGAAGCACATTTATTTCTTTAAAAAGTCTGTCATTGATGTTTGTTTCGTTGGTTTGATGCACATGCGCACAGATGTTTCTGTCCGGATAACCGGATCACTTTTCATTGTAATTCTATGGGAATGGTTTGAAACTTCTTCGTCCGGGTCCGGAAGCGCGGGGTCCATCTAAGCGAGTACAATTAATGAAGGTAAGTTTCGTTTCAACGAAAAATCGTCCGGAAGGCGGGGTTTCCGGATATACGGGGTCCGAGTAAACGGGGTTCGACTGTATTTGATGCATGAATATGTAACTGAAATGTCTGTCATCCTCTAATCATCATCCAAGACCAACACTCACCTCCACACTGAGGTCAAGCGGAGTCTTCCCCCTTTCTTCCTCCAAAAACTTGGCATTTCTCCTCATCAGGATGGAGGCAGCTTCATGCTGACCATGACTGGAAGTAGCCATGTATCACACCATAAAGAAGCAACACTCACAAACATCATTCTATACCGTTATATTCTGTGATTAACATGGCCTAGTTACATCCTAAATGACCCGTGAAGGTCCGGGTTAGAATTGATCTTTAGTAACCCATGCTTGTCGTAAGAGGTGACTAACGGGATCACTGACTTGGTTGACATTCGATGTTCCTGATGTTGATCACTGGATTGTCTGGTCCAGACTCGAATATTTACAGACCACCACCATATAGCTAGAATATTGCTGAGTGCGACGTAATACTATTAAGCCAAAAAGGTTCAGGACACATATACTGAGAGAAACAAATAAGGGAACAAATGAAAGATCACGTGCTCTTTTATTTTTATCCAGGTTTCTTCGCAAGCTTTGTATTGCACTGTGGGTGAAATCTCAGAATAAATACAGGAACACTGTGATGAAGCCATGTTCCCTTATTTCTTTCCTTCAGTATATTTAATATAAATACGATAATGTTTGATTGCAAAAATATTGAGTCTTATATCAGTTTGTCTAATTTCAATTTAGTGAGGTCAAGGATGAATTTGGAATGATGATGATATAGACTTCCAGTTGAGTGAATTGGAGCCAGTGACCTTTCTCTGGTCCTTTCACTTTTTCTGGAGTGAAAATCGGTAGAGACGTTCTCCAAAAATGAAGATAGGCACAGGCCATATATTACAGATTATCTCAGGATTACTTTTCATTTTAATGTAACTATTTTTCATGGCCATCACAAATAACAGTATTATCTTTTATGACACCCTTCCCCCAAAATACATTACCAGTTCCTAAATATTTATGACTGTAACCTAACCCTTTAATATTACTGGCAACACTTCCCATATAATATATGACCACTCTGTTATGTAAGTTGCTTGTTATACACCATTTGTCTGAAATGCTGTGGACTAGTTGGAGTTCCTACCCTTACTGGGCCCCAATTAGCAACGCAGAGTTGCGTCCCTTACTCATGCAAGGATCTTCTGGTTTGTGGCCAAGATTCACCTGACAATGGTCCTTGCTCATAGGTTTTAACAACATGATGAACTTACCCAACCTGGATCACTTCGTAACTGAAATACTGTACGACTCTGCATTTAATCACACAAAATGGACTACATATCAGTGTAGGTCTGTCCTTACCTGCAGGCGAAGTGTAGAGGGGTCCATTTGTTGTGGTTGACCTTGTTGATGTTGGAACCGTGGTCCAGCAGGCACTGCAAGGTCTGAGGAAGACAAACAACCAGGTCAAACTGACATGAACTGACAGAACTAAAGGAAACTAAATCCTTCAAGATTTCAATTTTCAACACACGCCATCATAGACACTAAAACTATGACATAAAAGTCACATATAGAGATGTATTGAACTTGAAACTCACCAAAACTTTGTAGATTTATATCACGTTTTCTGCACAAAATGCATTGCCACACATTCCCTTAAAATTTTTAGCAGCCAAATTTAGATAAAACTGTAGAGGTTTCCAATTCTTTGAAGAGAATAATCCTTGGGGTACATATATGCATTTTCTGCGGCTGAAAATGTCATGTGACAGTTGTATCAATGTTTTAATAAAAATATTGTACAATAAATAAAAGTCTTTTTATTTATTATACGGCCCCCACCACGTGGAGTTAACTCCCTGCTACGCATGCACAGCCAACCAGGTAAGCACCTAGGCCCGTATCATCATTCCTTCTGCTGAACAAATCAGTGAACAGAATTGCGGGGAGGTGGGCAGCCCTACCCCAAGGACGATTCTCTTCAAAGAATTGGAAACCTCTACAGGTTTATCTAATTCTTTTTCATAGAGATCGTCCTTGGGGTACATATATGCATTAACACAGACTCCCAAAGACCGGAGGCTAGGGAGGAGGGAATTCTGTCACAGTACAAATAAATAGCAATCTCGTAATTACGAAAAGTTGCTTATGTCATAACATTCACCTGTCATGTGTCTCGAAGCTTCCGCGAGAGGTATTATGGGAGGTGACCCGACAGGAAGAAATCGTACTGAGGACTGACCTCAGCATGTTAAGCATGACAACACATCATATAGAGTGTAAACAAACCCCGCCCACTGAGTGAAAACTCTATAGAGGGCACCATAAGGGGGAAACCATAACTCACAACCGAAAAGCTCAACCGGGTGATTGAAAGTTGGCAAAAATCAACAGCGGATAGGTCAATTAAACAACAATTGAACACAGTGTCTCAATAAAACCAAATAACCAAGACTCACTCGGTCAGGGTGGCAGGACACTGTCCACCGGAGAGAACAGAACGGCCAGAGCGTGCTCGATCACGGGAGTGCGTATCCAGCTGATAGTGCCGTATAAAAGTGCTAGGCCGGCTCCAAATAGCGGCAGAACAAATCTCTTCGATGGGCAGTGCCGCTGCAAACGCTTTGGAAGTGGCGACTGCCCTGACCGAGTGAGCCATCAACCCCTCAGGGGGAGGCTTGCCCTTAGCCTGATACACAGCACAAATAACTGACACAAGCCAGCCCCAGCCTTCCCGCCACCGTAACAGCAGAACAGATGGGTACCCGTACAGATCCCTTGTGTTCGTTTGATATAGACCTTGAGGGTCTTACGGATGTCCAACGGGTGAGTGCTCGTTGCAGAAGTCCCCGATGTGGAAGGCAGGGTAAGAGTAGGAAGTTCGATAGGAGCTGTCACATGGAAAGCGTGATTGATCTTCAGACGGTAACTATCCGGGAGGCGAATACTGATGTGATCGGAACACAGCCAGTGCCTGGTGTGCAGACATGGCATGTAAATCACCAACCTTTCTCCCAGATGTTACCGCCACCAGAAAAACGGCCTTTCATGTTAACAGCTGAATGGAAATAGCCGATAGATTAGAGAAAGTAGGACCGGACAGCCAATCTAGCACGATTGACAAATCCCAAGGTGGGCGGGTATGCCTGAGAGCAGGTCGAACCCGATCCACGCCAGCTACGAAGTGCTGGATAAGAGGGTGCTGCACCAGAAGAGCACCATCGACAGGGGAGGCTGAGCCAGAAACCTGAGAATTACCGGAAACCAGGTCTGTGACGGCCAAAGCGGTTCCAGAAGCACAAGTAGCCGAGCTGGCTGGGTGCACAGCTGGGAGAGGAGTGGTAGTGGCGGAAACGCCCACAGCACCTTGCCCATCCAATCCAGCAGGAAGGCGTCAGAAGCCAACGCCCTCTGGTCCGGTATCTGAGAGCAGAACACGGGTATCTGATTCATCCCGCCGCAAACAGATCCACCTGGAATGACCCATACAACAGGGAGATAACTCCGAATATCTGTCGATCGAGCATCCACTCGTGTGGGGCCAGGATCCGGCGAGAGAGAGCGTCTGCTCGAACGTTCTCTAGCCCCGGGAGATAGACAGGAATCACCTGACAGTCGCACTGGTCGCACCAGAGGAGAAACTCTCACGCCTCCCAAAGGAGCGCTAGCAGTGCATCCAAAGCAGTGCATCTGTTTGAACTGTAAGAGCTGGCGTCGGGATTTCCAAAGAGACCCCTTGGAGAGATTCCCGACATCGGTCCACCACTGAAGGTGAAGAGACAACCACCTGGGAACTGTGAGAGACTTCTCCAGATCCTCTGAGTGAGCCCACTGACTCGCCAAAGCTTGCTGTATAGGGCGCATCCAGCCACACGACAGAGACTGGTCGCTGCCATATGACCCAGCAGACGGAGCCAAGTCCGTGCCGGTGCCTGGGGCTGGGAGAGGAAGAAAGATACCATCTCCCATACTCTGGTGATTCGGTCGGGCGACAGTGACACAAGACCATGTTGAGTTGTGAGCGGCGCCCTGAGAAAAAACAAGTCCTGGTCAGGTACCAGGTCGGATTTCTTGAGGTTAATGATCGACCCCAGTCGAACTAGAATGTCTATCACTGTGTGAGTGGAATCTAGGATCGCTGGCTGAGTTAGCGCACGCAGCAACCAGTCGTCGAGGTAAGGGTGACAATGCCTTCCTTGCGACCTCGCAAGAGTAGCCGTCACTAACATGAGCTTGGTGAACACCCTGGGGGTAGTGGATAGCGTAAATTTTAATACAAAAGTCACATGAATGAGAAATAACCAACTGCAAAATCACAAGAGCGTTATAAAGAACAAATAAAGACCATACATACAGTAGTTGAAGTCTCAGACATAGTCGTAGTACGCATCTACTTTGGTCAGCACTAGTCAAGCATGTGTGTACACAATGCGTGACAGCAGAAGGAATGATGATACGGGCCTGGGTGCTTACCTGGTTGGCTGCGCATGCGTAGCAGGGAAGTAATTCCATGTGGTGGGGGCCATATAATAAATAAAAAAGACTTTTAATTATTGTACAATATTTTTACTAAAAAATTGATACAACTGTCACATGACATTTGCAGCCGCAGAAATGCATATATGTACCCCAAGGATGATCTCTATAATTTTTTTGGGGCAATTTGTAAACTTTTATTGTACCTATATGTACGTAAAACTGCCTAGTGATAATGACTTGAAAAGAAACACTATTCTTTACATACATATTTGTGTCTGCTGATATTTAGCCTTCAAACTGGCCAATCAGAGGGGTTTATTATGATTTGATAGCCTCTGACTAACCAATGCGAATTGAGTTATTTCTAATTTCATGGCGTCAAGGTTTTCTTGCACAGACATAAGTCACTCAGACACTACAGAAGAGTGTCATGTAGCAGAGTGAGTGAGTGAGTATGGTTCTACGCTGCTTTTAGCAATATTCCAGTAATATCATGGCGGGGTACACCAGATATGGCGTCACACATTGTACTCATGTGGGGAATCGAACCAGGGTCTTCGGTGTGATGGTGATCTAGCAGATGATCAGATAGGCCTTATTCAATTAAGAATCATTCTGCTCATATGACGACGTGCATGCGTGTGCATGTGCATGTGCGGCTGCTTGTACTAGCCCAGACTTAAGCTGGTTTTTTTATAGTGCTAGCCCATCGAGATACCATGCCGCACTCAGACACATTATACTGACTCCGAGCCGACCAGTCCTTGTTGTACCCATTAATGCCGAGCGCAGGCAGGGACCAACAAGTACCATATTTTAACGTCTTTTTGTATGACGCGGTCGGGGATCGAACCTGCAACCTTCCCGCTCTCCGGGTGGACGCTCTAACCACTACACCACGGAGGCGTCCATAAGACCTTAAGTTGTTTGGAGAAGTAATACAAAAATAGTATAATTGTGTATGATACATACTGATTTGTGACCATTCTGACAGGCTACATGTAGTGCAGTTTGTCCCTGAGAGTCCTGTAAAAGAACAACAGTACATCATCTACCAGCTCTTCTGGGATAACTCTCCGCCAGCAAAGGTTAGGTCTCATATAGCAAAGCAGTCTCACACAAGCAAGTCAAGTTTAATGAGTTAACACAATCTTTGGTACCATGGATTAACACCTCAAAAGAGGCCTTGACTTAAGTGAATACTTATGTTGAGTAAGTTAGTAAATCACTCTTCCAACTAATTCAAGAGAAATATAGACTCCTATGAGGATCTTGCTTTCATGAAACTTGGATCACCACATTCCAAGTAATGCCAAACTTTGCTCAAGAATGATAATTATGACGATCCCCCAAAAGTAACTGACTGACTGACTGAGTTTGGTTTTACTTTAGCAATATTCCAGCAATATTCAATTTGACACCTTGCATTGTACCCATGGGTGGATGACGAGCTAGCGCTTTAAAACTACCCACCCACGTGCCCCCCAAAGCTAGGGGGTGGTGTACTTTAAAATTGCTAGTGTACTCCGGAACAGTGGCACATGTAAAATCATTTGCCCTGATAATTTTTCCACTATACTGGCCGTTTTCTTGTTGATTTTTTAAAAAAACAACATAATTAATGTTGAAAAGTCAACTGGACACCGGTACAGTGTGATATACAAATTTGCTTGCCCAAAAGAAAAAAACACTGGACTTGGACGTCGGGCAATGGGTTATTTCCACCCCTGCCTTGCCTCTGGAAAGTGGAGAACAAAGACTGTTGCGACGACATATTTATCATCAAGTCAAATGCTGATACGAGCCACATTACTGTCAACAATCACTGTGTAAGTATGTTAGAAAATTTAGCAATGTCAACACACAAAAACTAACGATTTGCATTAATTCTTCTAGTATATTTATATAGCGTACATATCCACACAACTGGTGCCTGCTCAAGGCGCTGGTATTTTTTCCCTCGATCATTGGATGTCAATCTCAATGGCACATCGTATTATCAATCTCAACTCCCTGGGGAGTATAAACTCTTGCTGCCACTAGGCGCACCGAGTTATTGTGGCTTTCTCAACCTAACGAGGTACCCATTCACAGCTGGGTGGACTGGGACACATAGTCACAGTACTTTGTCCAAGTTCACTGCATGTTGCTGTACCCGCAACTAGGTGTTTGCATGTATTCATGACCACCATCTGGTCATATACCAACGGATTCGTGGGTTCTTTTAAGTGCACAGGGTTGTGTACTGTACACTAGGGGTTGTGACAACACTGAAAGAGTCTGCACACAAAGTTGACTCCAAGGTTTTTACACCCGGTCACAGGTGGGCTCGATCCCGCACCTCAACCTCGCTGGATCACTAGCCTGGCGCCTTAGCCAGCTCGCCCACCGCACCCATGATATACATGTATAATGATAACATGTATATACATACTTCAAGTGTTTTTAAACTGTTGTAAATCTACAGTGACTGTCAAAATAGACACAACATTAAGTGATTTGATTTGTTACTAAATAATCTATGCGGTAAAAAATGTCATGATTAAGACAGATCTTCTTAGCCAGGAGATAAGGTTACATAAAAAAATAGTCTTGTTTCTCATAACTTTTTCAAAAAGATATGGGTTGGGCGGGCGGATTTTATTTTTACATTTTATTATATTTTATGTCATAAACCCCTTGATTTCTGTGGAAATTTACACCTTTTCTCCCGATAGAAAATCAGAACTTAGAAGTGTAAAAAATTCATGCACATTTATAAAGTCAAAGTTGCATATACTCTGGTGTAAATATTAAAAGAAATCGTAGGGTCGGGTCAAATTTTTGGGTTGGGCGGTAACGAGAAACAAGACTATTTTTATATGTAGTCTAACAGGCAGGCAACAAGTTTTGGACACTCTCTGACCTACTCCTAAAGTGCTACAAGTATCTGACCTCTATGTCCACTTCCTCTACATGCTGTAGCAGGTCCTGCAGGAGTTCTGTCCGACCGTTCACCGCCAGCCAGTGGATCTATACACAACATCATCAGCCATCATGGTCCATATCCAAGCGGAAATAGCAGTGTGTTGTACATGTGTCAGAAACAGTGATATACAGACAATAGCAAGTGCAGGGGTGGAAATAACTTTAAAATTGCTAGTGTACTCCGGTACAGTGGCACATGTAAAATCAGTTGCCCTGATAATTTTTCCACTGTACCGGACGTTTTCTTGTGGATTTTTTAAAATAAACAACATAATTAATATTGGAAAGTCAACTGGACACTGGTACAGTGTGATATACAAATTTGCTTGCCCTACAGAAAAAACCACTGGACTCGGGCGTCGGGCAATGGGTTATTTCCACCCCTGAAGTGCTCTGTGCTTGATACGTTTACATAACCGTCAGTTCAACTCATAATTATCATATTGTAGCGAGATCGGATTAAAGCCGCTTTAAGCAATATTGAAGCAATATCACAACAGCAGAAATTCGCTTCATACATTGAACCTTTGGGTGAGTGAGTGAGTATGTTTTTTTGCCGCTTTTAGCAATATTCCAGCCATATCGCGGTGGGAGACACCAGAAATGGGCTTCACACATTGTACTCATGTGGGGAATGGAACCCAGGTCTTCGGCATGACGAGCGAACGCTTTAACCTGTAAGCTACCCCACCTTAATTAATAAAAGTCTATATGAATTCACTCAAACGGAGCAAAATAATCCTTAAAGCCAACCATTGTCAATACCAGCTCTGTTACGCTTTACGGATATGGGAGAATGAACCTGGCAGAATGAATAGAACATTTCTTGTATCCCCCCAAACCTTTGAGGCTACCCCTTCACCCCAGGCCTTTGGTGTGACGAGCAAACACTTTAAAAGCTAGCCTACCCCACTTCCCCTTATGACATTGAAACTACTATGTGGAAAATCTGTTGCAATCCATGCAGGCATGTTGTTGATAGTGTGAGCATCGAATCCAAGCAGTTAGGGTACACACTCACAGACAAGGTGATGCAATTTAACAATGTCCTCTGCATCAAGCAACTGTTAACATGGTTAAGACAAGCATGTGTAACTGGTGAACAGTTCTGGGTTCCGTTTCACAAAGCTACGTAATGCTATGATGGTTCTAACTCCTATACTGAAACATAGACTTATGACAGATTGTTTTGTGAAGTGGTACCTTGTGCCTGTATCACAAAGAGATCATAATGCTAAGACCGTCGTAGGTCATATACTATAACATAGACTTACGCAGGGGTTCAAAATTATTTTAAAAAAGCCACTTGCCACAGGGCAAGTGACTTTAAGAAAGTAACTTGTCCTGACCAAATTTCCACTTGCCCTGATTTTATGACATAATTATGATGATGTAATTATGAAAGAATAAATCAACATGGTATTTGATGTTAACCCTTTCAACACCGCAGGCCGCTTAAGCGGCCACAACGTTATGAGTCCCCAGACACCGGAGGCCGCTTAAGCGGCCAGGCAGTAGTCACGTCAAAATGAGACATAATTTTAGGAACTTACCTGACTTATGATTCATATATTAAATCCATCACATTTCAGAATGTCTGGAAACACTTATTAAATTTCAATTGATCCTATATTATCGGCAGAATTAAAATTATAAACTATTTTTCGCGAATGTAATTGAAAACAACGATTCTGGGACACATGCTTCGAGCTGGTCCACAATAACATTGTCAAAGAGCAAAGTAACGATGTTTCGAGGAAATGATTAAATAAATCGAATAAACTAATGAATAAAATCAACAACAGCATTCATAAAAGTTGTCAAGCGTGCATATAAAATTACTTTTCCATCTTTTGTGCGATCATGTAATGCAAGTCAAATCACTGACAAGTGACATCTCGCTCTCCGCCTCAATCTTCACTTTCGGACCGCGATGTTTAATGCGAAAATATATGCATGAAGCATTTTTGTCACAGGTCATAACCTAGCACGATCGTCCAATAAGTCCCATAATTTCACGTATATATGTAGCGATTTCTTGCTTAATATGTTCAGAATAGCATTATTTTACCCAAAACTTTCGTCTAAATCTAAAGGTTTTGTTTACGAGGACGGTATCCATTGCCGTAATATGATTGGCTGCCTTAGGTCACGTGTCTGATTTTGACCAATCACGACCCTTATAGCAGACTGTAGCGAAAAAGCGTCATTAGAAACCAATTTTTATCCAATAAAATCGCTTCTTACAACTGTGAAAATACTCTCAGCAAGGGTGATATTGTTGATGTTCAGAGCTTTCGAACGATTCGCCTCGCATGTTATTCATACGAAGCTTCGAAAACGGAGGTATTTTCCGTTGTTATGTCATGTTACCGAGCGGAAAGCCACAGATATCGGGAAATAGGCGACCATACATATTATTTAAGAAATCTTTTTATAATAATTTTCTGATTACGTAAAAGTGAAAATATAAAAGAAAAAGGCACGGGCATGTTATGACATGTCACAAATGGAAAAAAATCGCCTTAGTTTTTGCTTCTTTCGTGGTTTATCTGGACGTTATAAATGTAAGCTTGCATTTTCATTCAAAATAATTTTATTTAAGTTGTAGTTGTATTATTTGAATAATATTATAAAAATAAACTTCATATTTATCAACAGTAGGATTAGATCTTTTAAATGGTGTATGGGATGTAGTAGCAAAAACGTTTTGCAAGCTTATAATTTCCTTCATAAACATAGGCTTCATCTATGACCTCAGAGTCTCTGGGAACTCGGTGTCATGGCAGTAAATGCCTCTGGTTGACTGGTGTTGAAAGAGTTAATGTTTACTGGACTATTGATTGAAAAGTGATTAATAGCAAAGAAAGATAACTCTACTTTATCATCATTGTGAAATTTAAAAGCTACATTGGGAGCAGATATGAAATTAAAGCCAAATGTATTTGCATTTTGAAACAATAGGTGGAAATTATTTAGTAGCCCACGGACAAGCAAGATACATGTACCATTATTTAATTGCCCGAAATGAAAACTCACTTGTCCCGGGCGTCAGGCGATGGGATTTTTGAACCCCTGCTTACAGCAGTCATAGTGTTATGATAGCTTTGAGATACAGGGCCCAGGGGTCCAACTTTACGAAACAATCTGTCGTAAGTCTATGTTAGAGCAATGACTTACGACAGTCATAGCGGTACGTAGCTTTGTGATACAGGGCCTATGGTCCAACTTTACGAAACAATCTGTCGTAATTCTATTTTAGAGCAATGAGTTACGACAGTCATAGCGGTACGTAGCTTTGAGAAACAGGGCCTAGGGTCCAACTTTACGAAACAATCTGTCGTAAGTCTATGTTAGAGCAATGACTTACGACAGTCATAGCAGTACGTAGCTTTGAGAAACAGGGTCGAGGATCCAACTTTACGAAACAGTCTGTCGTAAGTCTATGTTAGAGCAATGACTTACGACAGTCATAGCGATACGTAGCTTTGAGAAACAGGGCCTAGGGTCCAACTTTACGAAACAATCTGTCGTAAGTCTATGTTAGAGCAATGACTTACGACAGTCATAGCGGTACGTAGCTTTGAGAAACAGGGCCTAGGGTCCAACTTTACGAAACAATCTGTCGTAAGTCTATGTTAGAGCAATGACTTACGACAGTCATAGCGGTACGTAGCTTTGAGAAACAGGGCCTAGGGTCCAACTTTACGAAACAATCTGTCGTTAGTCTATGTTAGAGCAATGACTTACGACAGTCATAGCGGTACGCAGCTTTGTGAAACAGGGCCTATGGTCCAACTTTACGAAACAATCTGTCGTAAGTCTATGTTAGAGCAATGAGTCACGACAGTCATAGCGGTACGTAGCTTTGAGAAACAGGGCCTAGGGTCCAACTTTACGAAACAATCTGTCGTAAGTGTATGTTAGAGCAATGAGTTACGACAGTCATAGCGGTATGTAGCTTTGTGATACAGGGCCTAGAACTGTTCACCAGTTACATGAAACCAACAAAGTTTGGGGTACATGTGTACTCACTGCCGTCAGCCCTTCGTTGTTGCGAATATTTACATCGGATTTATTCTCCAGCAGCTTGTTCAGACATTTCTTTTGTCTGGAACAAAACACACACATGTGCAAACATTTCTCTCAGATAATCATTATTCTGATCAGTCTTGCGTCAACTTATTCCAGTGGTATCACGACTAGGACACCAGTCTTATGTCAACATATTTCCCACTGATGAAGGTGAGGTCAAATTGGGTTTAACGTCGTGCTTGAGAATATTTCGCTCATATGACGACGTGCATGTGTGTGTATGTGCGGCTGCTTGTACTAGCCCAGACTGAAGCTGGTTTTATAGTGCTAGCCCACTGAGATACCATGCCGCAGTGAAGCAAGAATACCCCACTCAGACACATTATACTGACTCCGAGCTGACCAGTCCTTGTTGTACCCATTAATGCCGAGCGTCAGGCAGGGACCAACAAGTACCATATTTTAACATCTTTTGGTATGACGTGGTCGGGGATTGAACCCGCGACCTTCCGCTCTCCGGGCAGACGCTCTAACCACTACACCACGGAGGCGGTCCCCACTGATGAAAGTGCAAAGGATTGTTCGGCACTGTTCAACAATGTTTAACATAAAGATTATACCAAGTACACAGTCTACATATTTTCTAAGATGTACATCTTTTTGCAGCAGTTTTATATTATTCCAGCCAAAAATCAGCTAACAACTAGGGTTAAAAAAAATAAGCTGGCCTACAAGAAATCCCAGCAGTATTCAAAACTTCACTCAAGAGTGAGTGAGTGAGTGCGTGAGTGAGTGAAAGGGTGAAAGAGAGAGAGAGAGAGACAGAGACAGAGAGAGAGACAGACAGACAGAGAGAGAGAGAATTGCTGCAAATGACACCAGAAAAGGGCTTCACACATTGTGCAGATGCAGGGAATAGAACCTGGATCTAAATACAGTAGAATACTTTTATAACGAACTTGATGGCTATAGCGAACTGTTTTAAAAGTCCCGAATAAACCTTATATTATCATATAAAAAAGTGAATAGCAAACTACGGATATAACGAAATAATTTCAGTGGTCCCTTGGAGTTCGTTATAAAGGTATTTTACTGTATTATCATATGTCAGCAAGTAGTGGTGAATCATGTAAATGCTTCAGTCAAAAACAAGGAACAGAGCATGTCTCCCCAGGGGACCCCATCCCTTGACGTGAGATGATGTTCGTAATTACCCATTTCTAGCTGCAAGATGAAGTGGTGTACAGCCGGACACATCCTGAAGGTTTACCTTTGACCCCTTCTTCAGCAGTAGGTGAAGGCACTCATATGATCCGCAACTAAAAGGAAATTAGATGTACAACAGAAAACTCCAGCAAACTCCATTTTAAACGGTAATGAGTGAATATTGAATAAATGGTCTACTCCCATTTGTGAGAACTCCCAATTGTGAGACTCCCAGTTATGAGACAGTGGAGTAGGTAATTAACAAAGAAAACACACCATACTCCCCTGTCTGATAGAATGGATTAACCCTAGCTAATTACTGATTTGCTATGTAACTGAATCTTGTGGAAGTCTTAATGAAACTTTATAAGATAAATTGATTAACATACACTTTATGTAGGTAACTTCGTGATTACTTGAAAGAGAAATTAATTTACCTACTCAGATTTACATCCGTCTCCGAAACTACAAGATATAGTTTAAGAAATAGCTCTGAAATACAAGTTTACAGTCGAACTGCCTCTTATGCCAAATCCTTTTCACCCGGCACTATCCGTTATAACCTGGATACCATTTTGAACGGAAACAAAGAATTTACTCCTTGTGTAAACCAGAAAATAGTTGAATCTGTCCACAATTATATCATCAAGACACAACGCTTCAAATTTTCTCAGGAAAATACTTAAATTAACTCAGCAACCTTCTCATGATTGATTTATATTCCTACAACAGCTTGTTAGACACACACAACTGTAACTCTCTAATTATGACTACTTAGAGAATAGTTGTATTTGAAGTATACTTAAAAATATATTTATGCAATAGTCAATATCGATGACGTCACATCCTCCATTTCATTTTGTATTTTATGTTGCATGGGAGCGGTGTTAACATAAGCAGTAATACTTCATCAATCCCAATTCATTTTCATAAATAATAATAAAATATGTTTAAACCAAAATGACTTTCAAACTTCATAATAGTCTATTTCTTCTGTGTAAATACAATCTTTGATAATCTATTTCATTAATCTACTCATCAATGACTCCTGTGCGTACTCTTCAATAACTGGGCTGATCCCACTTTCATTGTAGTGATGTGGAAACACCACCTATGTGCACTGAACCATTAATTAATGTGTCTCACAACTGGGAGTTCTCACAAATGGGAGGACACCGAATAAACGATACAATACAATGTATCAGCGATAGGAGACTGTGTCAAGCATACATTAGAAGCAGCAAATCAGCAGCATCAGGGCTAGTAAATTCTAGCTTTGTTTGGTTTGTTTGCTGTGCCACACCACACTCAGCAATATTCCAGCTTTATGCCAGCTGTCTGTAAATATTCGAGTCTGGACCAGACAATCCAGTGATCAACATCATGAGCATTGATCTAAACAACTGGGATACGATGACATGTGTCAACCAAGTCACCGAGTCTGACTTCTAAATTCTTGAAGATAGTGAAACATTTGGACCTTCACATCGGATTTCTGTACCTCAAAAGGAACTAAAGTAACCAGTTCCTAATGTAGATAATAAAGGCTTTCACCATCCCATCACAGTCAATATTTTATTTCTGAGCACCATGGCAACTGCACTAACATCAAAGTACCATCGAAGGAGTATTTGTGATAAATATGGATCTTAATATGAGAGAAGCCAATCGCCTTTAAAAAGCATACATCTGCATGATTAAAAAAACCAACCGTAATAAAAAATCATCAAAGTTTGCTCCTGTTTGACATGACGTGACCTTCAATGGTGACATCATCCAATCTTCACCCAGACAGGCATTGTGACAGAGTAGAGCGGCGGGAGACAACTTACTTTGCTGCAACATGGAGCAATGTCCGTCTTGCTCTTCCAGGCATTGTGACGAAGTAGAGATGCGGGAGACAACTTACTTTGCTGCAACATGGAGCAATGTCCGTCTTGCTCTTCCAGGCATTGTGACGAAGTAGAGATGCGGGAGACAACTTACTTTGCTGCAACATGGAGCAATGTCCGTCTTGCTCTTCCAGGCATTGTGGCATTGTGATGGAGTAGAGATCGCGGGAGACAACTTACTTTGCTGCAACATGGAGCAATGTCCGTCTTGCTCTTCCAGGCATTGTGACGGAGTAGAGATCACGGGAGACAACTTACTTTGCTGCAACATGGAGCAACTTGCTCTTCCGGAGTAAAGATGGGGAGACAACTTACTTTGCTGCAACATGGAGCAATGTCCGCCTTGCTCTTCCAGGCATTGTGACGGAGTAGAGATGCGGGGAGACAACTTACTTTGCTGCAACATGGAGCAATGTCCGTCTTGCTCTTCCAGGCATTGTGACGGAGTAGAGATGCGGGGAGACAACTTACTTTGCTGCAACATGGAGCATTGTCCGTCTTGCTCTTCCAGGCATTGTGACAGAGTAAAGATCACGGGAGACAACTTACTTTGCTGCAACATGGAGCAATGTCCGTCTTGCTCTTCCAGGCATTGTGATGGAGTAAAGATGCGGGGAGACAACTTACTTTGCTGCAACATGGAGCAATGTCCGTCTTGCTCTTCCAGGCATTGTGACGGAGTAAAGATGCGGGAGACAACTTACTTTGCTGCAACATGGAGCAATGTCCGTCTTGCTCTTCCAGGCATTGTGACAGAGTAAAGATGCGGGAGACAACTTACTTTGCTGCAACATGGAGCAATGTCCGTCTTGCTCTTCCAGGCATTGTGACGGAGTAAAGATGCGGAGACAACTTACTTTGCTGCAACATGGAGCAATGTCCGTCTTGCTCTTCCAGGCATTGTGACGGAGTAAAGATGCGGGGAGACAACTTACTTTGCTGCAACATGGAGCAATGTCCGTCTTGCTCTTCCAGGCATTGTGACGGAGTAAAGATGCGGGAGACAACTTACTTTGCTGCAACATGGAGCAATGTCCGTCTTGCTCTTCCAGGCATTGTGACGGAGTAAAGATGCGGGAGACAACTTACTTTGCTGCAACATGGAGCAATGTCCGTCTTGCTCTTCCAGGCATTTGTGACAGAGTAAAGATCGCGGAGACAACTTACTTTGCTGCAACATGGAGCAATGTCCGTCTTGCTCTTCCAGGCATTGTGACGGAGTAAAGATGCGGAGACAACTTACTTTGCTGCAACATGGAGCAATGTCCGTCTTGCTCTTCCAGGCATTGTGACGGAGTAAAGATGCAGGGAGACAACTTACTTTGCTGCAACATGGAGCAATGTCCGTCTTGCTCTTCCAGGCATTGTGACGGAGTAAAGATCACGGGGAGACAACTTACTTTGCTGCAACATGGAGCAATGTCCGTCTTGCTCTTCCAGGCATTGTGACGGAGTAAAGATGCAGGAGACAACTTACTTTGCTGCAACATGGAGCAATGTCCGTCTTGCTCTTCCAGGCATTGTGACGGAGTAAAGATGCGGGAGACAACTTACTTTGCTGCAACATGGAGCAATGTCCGTCTTGCTCTTCCAGGCATTGTGACGGAGTAAAGATGCGGGAGACAACTTACTTTGCTGCAACATGGAGCAATGTCCGTCTTGCTCTTCCAGGCATTGTGACGGAGTAGAGATGCGGGAGACAACTTACTTTGCTGCAACATGGAGCAATGTCCGTCTTGCTCTTCCAGGCATTGTGATGAGTAGAGATGCGGGGAGACAACTTACTTTGCTGCAACATGGAGCAATGTCCGTCTTGCTCTTCCAGGCATTTGTGACGGAGTAAAGATGCGGGAGACAACTTACTTTGCTGCAACATGGAGCAATGTCCGTCTTGCTCTTCCAGGCATTGTGACGGAGTAGAGATGCGGGAGACAACTTACTTTGCTGCAACATGGAGCAATGTCCGTCTTGCTCTTCCAGGCATTGTGACGGAGTAAAGATGCGGGGAGACAACTTACTTTGCTGCAACATGGAGCAATGTCCGTCTTGCTCTTCCAGGCATTGTGACGGAGTAGAGATGCGGGGAGACAACTTACTTTGCTGCAACATGGAGCAATGTCCGTCTTGCTCTTCCAGGCATTGTGACGGAGTAAAGATGCGGAGGACAACTTACTTTGCTGCAACATGGAGCAATGTCCGTCTTGCTCTTCCAGGCATTGTGGCGGAGTAGAGATGCAGGGAGACAACTTACTTTGCTGCAACATGGAGCAATGTCCGTCTTGCTCTTCCAGGCATTGTGACGGAGTAAAGATGCGCGGGAGACAACTTACTTTGCTGCAACATGGAGCAATGTCCGTCTTGCTCTTCCAGGCATTGTGACGGAGTAGAGATCGCGGGGAGACAACTTACTTTGCTGCAACATGGAGCAATGTCCGTCTTGCTCTTCCAGGCACGCTTGCTTTGCTGCGCTGGAGCAATGTCATCTTGCTCTTCCAGGCATTGACGGATGTAAAGATCACGGGGAGAGACGGGAGACAACTTACTTTGCTGCAACATGGAGCAATGTCCGTCTTGCTCTTCCAGGCATTGTGGCGGAGTAGAGATCGCGGGGAGACAACACTTTGCTGCAACATGGAGCAATGTCCGTCTTGCTCTTCCAGGCATTGTGGCCGGAGTAAAGATCGCGGGGAGACAACTTACTTTGCTGCAACATGGAGCAATGTCCGTCTTGCTCTTCCAGGCATTGTGACGGAGTAAAGATGCGAGGAGACAACTTACTTTGCTGCAACATGGAGCAATGTCCGTCTTGCTCTTCCAGGCATTGTGGCGTGAGTAGAGATGCAGGAGACAACTTACTTTGCTGCAACATGGAGCAATGTCCGTCTTGCTCTTCCAGGCATTGTGGCCGGAGTAGAGATGGGGAGACAACTTACTTTGCTGCAACATGGAGCAATGTCCGTCTTGCTCTTCCAGGCATTGTAGCGGGAGTAAGAGATCACGGGAGACAACTTACTTTGCTGCAACATGGAGCAATGTCCGTCTTGCTCTTCCAGGCATTGTGGCGGAGTAGAGATGCGGGAGACAACTTACTTTGCTGCAACATGGAGCAATGTCCGTCTTGCTCTTCCAGGCATTGTGGCGGAGTAGAGATCACGGGGAGACAACTTACTTTGCTGCAACATGGAGCAATGTCCGTCTTGCTCTTCCAGGCATTGTGGCCGGAGTAAAGATGCGGGGAGACAACTTACTTTGCTGCAACATGGAGCAATGTCCGTCTTGCTCTTCCAGGCATTGTGGCGGCGGAGTAGAGATCGCGGAGACAACTTACTTTGCTGCAACATGGAGCAATGTCCGTCTTGCTCTTCCAGGCATTGTGCCGGAGTAGAGATCACAGGGAGACAACTTACTTTGCTGCAACATGGAGCAATGTCCGTCTTGCTCTTCCAGGCATTGTGGCCGGGTAAGATCTTGAGGAGACAACTTACTTTGCTGCAACATGGAGCAATGTCCGTCTTGCTCTTCCAGGCATTGTGACGAATTAGAGATCGGAGGAGACAACTTACTTTGCTGCAACATGGAGCAATGTCCGTCTTGCTCTTCCAGGCATTGTGGCGGAGTAGAGATCACGGGGAGACAACTTACTTTGCTGCAACATGGAGCAATGTCCGTCTTGCTCTTCCAGGCATTGTGTGCCGGAGTAGAGATCGCGAGGGAGACAACTTACTTTGCTGCAACATGGAGCAATGTCCGTCTTGCTCTTCCAGGCATTGTGGCCGGAGTAGAGATGCGGGGAGACAACTTACTTTGCTGCAACATGGAGCAATGTCCGTCTTGCTCTTCCAGGCATTGTGGCCGGAGTAGAAGATCACGGGGAGACAACTTACTTTGCTGCAACATGGAGCAATGTCCGTCTTGCTCTTCCAGGCATTGTGATGGAGTAGAGATGCGAGGAGACAACTTACTTTGCTGCAACATGGAGCAATGTCCGTCTTGCTCTTCCAGGCATTGTGACGGAGTAGAGATCACGGGGAGACAACTTACTTTGCTGCAACATGGAGCAATGTCCGTCTTGCTCTTCCAGGCATTGTGACGGAGTAGAGATGCGAGGAGACAACTTACTTTGCTGCAACATGGAGCAATGTCCGTCTTGCTCTTCAGGCATTGTGGCCGGAGTAGAGATGCGGGAGACAACTTACTTTGCTGCAACATGGAGCAATGTCCGTCTTGCTCTTCCAGGCATTGTGACGGAGTAAAGATGCGGGAGACAACTTACTTTGCTGCAACATGGAGCAATGTCCGTCTTGCTCTTCCAGGCATTGTGTAGACGGAGTAAAGAGATGCGGGAGACAACTTACTTTGCTGCAACATGGAGCAATGTCCGTCTTGCTCTTCCAGGCATTGTGACGGGAGTAAAGATGCGGGAGACAACTTACTTTGCTGCAACATGGAGCAATGTCCGTCTTGCTCTTCCAGGCATTGTGACGGAGTAGAGATGCGGGAGACAACTTACTTTGCTGCAACATGGAGCAATGTCCGTCTTGCTCTTCCAGGCATTGTGGCGGAGTAAAGATGCGGGAGACAACTTACTTTGCTGCAACATGGAGCAATGTCCGTCTTGCTCTTCCAGGCATTGTGGCGGAGTAGAGATGCGAGGAGACAACTTACTTTGCTGCAACATGGAGCAATGTCCGTCTTGCTCTTCCAGGCATTGTGACGGAGTAAAGATGCGAGGAGACAACTTACTTTGCTGCAACATGGAGCAATGTCCGTCTTGCTCTTCCAGGCATTGTGGACGGAGTAGAGATGCGGGGAGACAACTTACTTTGCTGCAACATGGAGCAATGTCCGTCTTGCTCTTCCAGGCATTGTGACGGAGTAGAGATGCGGAGACAACTTACTTTGCTGCAACATGGAGCAATGTCCGTCTTGCTCTTCCAGGCATTGTGACGGAGTAAGAGATGATGGGAGACAACTTACTTTGCTGCAACATGGAGCAATGTCCGTCTTGCTCTTCCAGGCATTGTGACGGAGTAAAGATGCGGGGAGACAACTTACTTTGCTGCAACATGGAGCAATGTCCGTCTTGCTCTTCCAGGCATTGTGACGGAGTAGAGATGAGGAGACAACTTACTTTGCTGCAACATGGAGCAATGTCCGTCTTGCTCTTCCAGGCATTGTGACGGAGTAAAGATGCGGGAGACAACTTACTTTGCTGCAACATGGAGCAATGTCCGTCTTGCTCTTCCAGGCATTGTGACGGAGTAGAGATGCGGGAGACAACTTACTTTGCTGCAACATGGAGCAATGTCCGTCTTGCTCTTCCAGGCATTGTGACGGAGTAGAGATGCGGGAGACAACTTACTTTGCTGCAACATGGAGCAATGTCCGTCTTGCTCTTCCAGGCATTGTGACGGAGTAGAGATGCGGGAGACAACTTACTTTGCTGCAACATGGAGCAATGTCCGTCTTGCTCTTCCAGGCATTGTGACGGAGTAGAGATGTGGGAGACAACTTACTTTGCTGCAACATGGAGCAATGTCCGTCTTGCTCTTCCAGGCATTGTGACGGAGTAGAGATGCGGGAGACAACTTACTTTGCTGCAACATGGAGCAATGTCCGTCTTGCTCTTCCAGGCATTGTGACGGAGTAGAGATGTGGGGAGACAACTTACTTTGCTGCAACATGGAGCAATGTCCGTCTTGCTCTTCCAGGCATTGTGACGGAGTAGAGATGCGAGGAGACAACTTACTTTGCTGCAACATGGAGCAATGTCCGTCTTGCTCTTCCAGGCATTGTGACGGAGTAAAGATCGCGGGAGACAACTTACTTTGCTGCAACATGGAGCAATGTCCGTCTTGCTCTTCCAGGCATTGTGGCGGAGTAGAGATGCGGGGAGACAACTTACTTTGCTGCAACATGGAGCAATGTCCGTCTTGCTCTTCCAGGCATAGTGGACGGAGTAAAGATGCGGGGAGACAACTTACTTTGCTGCAACATGGAGCAATGTCCGTCTTGCTCTTCCAGGCATTGTGGACGGAGTAGAGATGCTGGGAGACAACTTACTTTGCTGCAACATGGAGCAATGTCCGTCTTGCTCTTCCAGGCATTGTGACGGAGTAGAGATGCGGGGAGACAACTTACTTTGCTGCAACATGGAGCAATGTCCGTCTTGCTCTTCCAGGCATTGTGACGGAGTAGAGATGCGGGGAGACAACTTACTTTGCTGCAACATGGAGCAATGTCCGTCTTGCTCTTCCAGGCATTGTGACGGAGTAGAGATGCGGAGACAACTTACTTTGCTGCAACATGGAGCAATGTCCGTCTTGCTCTTCCAGGCATTGTGACGGAGTAAAGATGCGGAGACAACTTACTTTGCTGCAACATGGAGCAATGTCCGCCTTGCTCTTCCAGGCATTGTGACGGAGTAGAGATGCGGGAGACAACTTACTTTGCTGCAACATGGAGCATTGTCCGTCTTGCTCTTCCAGGCATTGTGACGGAGTAGAGATGCGGGAGACAACTTACTTTGCTGCAACATGGAGCAATGTCCGTCTTGCTCTTCCAGGCATTGTAACAGAGTAAAGCTGCGGGAGACAACTTACTTTGCTGCAACATGGAGCAATGTCCGTCTTGCTCTTCCACAGGCATAGTTGACGTCAAACTTCGAGCCAGAGAGCAAATCGGTCACTGATCTGAAAGCGAGGTTTGACCATTGTTGAATAAGTGTACATCGTACAGCCTTCTTCAAGCACATTTAATAACAGGCAATCTTGTGTACACGCTACTTCTCAGACTGTATACTTATATGATAAACATGGTACAGTGAACCAAACAAAGTGCCATAACTGTTTCCAGGTGTTTCAGTAAGACCAGGGGTGGAAATAACCCATTCCCAAGCCCCAGTCCAGTGTGTTTTTCTGTCGGGCAAGCAAATTTGTATATCACACTGAACCGGTGTCTAGTTGACTTTCCAATGTTAATTATGTTCTTTATGTAAAAAATCAACAAGAAAATCGGCCGGTATAGTGGAAAAATTATCAGGGAAAGTGATTTTACATGTGCCACTGTACCGGAGTACACTAGCAATTTTAGAGTTATTTCCACCCCTGAAGACACCAACATATTTCTAAACAACACAGACAAAAAATGACTGATTACCAGTTAATTAAACAATTTTGCAAGGCACCCAGTTTAAATAATGTCAAATATCAAACACGTCTTCATGGTTGGTTGATTTGAAATTCAAGAAAATATGTATCTTCCATGCTTAAAATACACTGATAGAAGCGACAAAACCCTTTCCATATCCATAAGAGAAATCTCTGCTAAAAGCAGAGTCGGTTGTACAACTGTGACTATTTCATGAGTATATATTTGTTTCAGCAGTATTACAGCTGTATGATGTTGTTTGTAAACAAATAAAGCCTGGACCAGACAATCCAGTGATTGTCACCATGCGATACGATGACAGAGCATGCGTTTATGAATCACTATGAAACAGTGATGATACCAAGTGTTTGAGAAACAGTGAGCGTATCCTGCCCCACTGGTGGCACCCATCATAAACATATGCTAAGTTTAGACAAGGTACTTTACTGATTTTGAACACATAACAATGTACAATAATATCATACCTGTGTTGATTGGCAATCACCATTGGCATAATGGTGTAAAAGGCTGCTTTGTCATCTGAAAGAATGAAAACTTGATAAAAGACCCATATTATGAGGGCATGGCTTCCAAACAAGGACAATATGCTGATGAGCTGATCTTTTGACATGTTTACAGAGAAAAACAGCTTCCTGATAATGGTCTAGCTGTCATAAAAGCTTAAGCCTAAGTCGAGAGCATAGTTTTACTCAAAGCGAAATTCATACTATCTCACAGTTGTAAAGGTAATTCTATCAAGGGCCATCAGTCATCTATTGTTCAACATGTCTAAGATCTAACATTCATTTCCCTAACTTACAGAAATAAAGTACAGATGGACAGACAGATATACAGACATTTTATTCAATAATAGGCTACTGGCCCAAAATACATTCATAGATATGATAAAATGAAGAAGTTACATGTGATTTTACATAAAAACATCAGAATCTCTTATTTTCCCAACATTATATAAAAATAGGCATAAATTATTTATATTATTTATGTTGAAGACACTAAAAAGCTGTGTTGTTTATAAAGCTGTGTTATGAAATATGATGTTTTAAATATTTATCCAGAAACTTATTCCTTATATCTAGGTAGGCTTTACAATAAAGTAAAACATGTATTTCATCTTCAATTAAATTAATATTAATTTTGTGGCAAAAAGGACAGAATCTTGAATCATAAGGGACATTGATCTACCGCTCTCAGAACTAAGTTTAAATATACCACATCTAAATTTTGTTATTTTGTTGTTCTTAAATATGGGTCAATATCTAAACTGAGATAAGTTTCAATATTCAGGAGGGACTTGAAAAGTATATAGTTAGAACACTTGGTTGTATTATGTAGGAATGAGTACCAATCTCGTAAAAGACTATCAGACAATCTCTGTTTAAAAACAGAAATGAAACCATCAATATCTCCAATATCCTGGGAAATCCAAACAAAGTCAAACCCAAATCTGAATGAAATATTCTTGATATGAGATGCCCAGATGGATAAATTTCAAACTGACTCTTGTCTCATCCCTCATTACTATTTTCTTAATAAAGTACACATACAATTTAGGCATCACAATTCTAAACAGGCTAATGGGCTGTCTCAGCCATATATATCCAGCATTAGGAGGCAAAAGCATACATTTATCATTTATCATACATATATGTTTATACAATCTGTGCCAAAAACGTGGCTCTACCGGAGTGCCCCTGGCTTTAAGCAATCTTTTCTCCTAATAATGTAGCAATATCACAGCGGGTGACACCAGAGTGAGTGAAAGAGTGAGTTTAGTTTTACGCCACACTCAGCAATATTCCAGCTATGTGGCGACGGTCTGTAAATAATCGAGTCTGGACCAGACAATCCAGTGATCAACAGCATCAGCATCGATCTGCGCATTTGGGATACGATGACATGTGATTGTCAGCAAGCCTGACCACCCGATCCCGTTAGTCGCCTCTTACGACAAGCGTGGGTTACTGAACGCTCATTCTAACCCGGCCCGGACCTTCACGGGTCAGTGACACCAGAGGTTGGTTTGTTGTATAACGTTGCACTCAGCAATATTCCAGCTATATGGTGGCGGTCTGTAAATAATCGAGTCTGGACCAGACAATCCAGTGATCAACAACATGACCATCGATCTACACATCTGGGATACGATGACATGTGACTGTGTCAACGAAGTCAAAGTGTCTGAACACCCTATATCCTGTTAGTTGTCTCTTACAACAAGGATGCGTTGCTGAAGACCAACTCTAACCCGGATCTTCACAGGCTGGATATGTAGTAATTATAATAGTAACAACATAATGTGTCATCACACCCTGGCCTTGGAGAGCCAAAACACTGTGAGTGAGTGAGTGAGTTGGGTTTAATGCTGCTTTTAACAGTGCTCTATTCATAGAATAATGAGGCATATTGATGTGGGACTAGTGAGTGAGTTTAGTTTTACACTGCTTTTAGCTATATTTCAGGAGGGACACCAGAAATAAGCTTCACACAGGATATGGGAGTAAGGGAAGCAGCATGGGTATAGTGCTGACACAACTAGAAACATAATCTGGATAAACAGGAACTTGAATCTACAATTAGTACAATCACAGATTTATGGCATCATAAAGGGATGCACCTCCGCACAGCAAATTGCAAGGCTGTTAGTCGACTTGGCCAACAGTGTCCCACCTTCACCACTGAACAAGTAAAATGTCCTGAATATGTATGAAATAGAAAGATTGTGTACTCATTCTTTCATGAATAAAATCGTAGACAACTCGTGTCAAAATGCTTTAGTAATATGTCTGATAGTAATATTGATATTTCTTGTTCATCTGAATCTGAAAGTTGGTCCAAATCTGGCAAATCGTTTGTAGTTTTGCCCAAGTACGATACAAATATAATCCATAAAGTGGTGTAAGAATACTACTGACCTCCTCAAAGTCACAATATACTTTATTGCATTTCTGTAATCATTGGTTAGTGAGTTGGGTTTGAAACTGCACCCCAGCCATATTTGGTGGTAGGGCACTTTCCCAGGTGCACTCTTTCAAATCCAATTAGTGCTGCCGACCGCCTCCGTGGTTTAGTGGTTAGAGCGTCCGCCCGGAGAGCGGAAGGTCGCTGGTTCGATCCCCGACCGCGTCATACCAAAAGACGTTAAAATATGGTACTTGTTGGTCCCTGCCTGGCGCTCGGCATTAATGGGTACAACAAGGACTGGTCGGCTCGGAGTCAGTATAATGTGTCTGAGTGGGGTATTCATGCTTCACTGCGGCATGGTATCTCAGTGGGCTAGCACTATAAAACCAGCTTCAGTCTGGGCTAGTACAAGCAGCCGCACATATACATACACACGCATGCACGTCGTCATATGAGTGAAATATTCTCAAGCACGACGTTAAACCCAATTCCACCTCCACCACCACCACCACCACCACCACCACCTCCCACCACCACCTCCCACCTCCACCACCACCACCTCCACCACCACCACCTCCACCACCACCACCACCACCACCTCCACCACCTCCACCACCACCCACCACCTCCACCACCACCACCACCACCTCCACCTCCACCTCCACCACCACCACCACCACCACCTCCTCCACCTCCACCACCACCTCCACCACCACCTCCACCACCACCTCCACCACCACCACCACCTCCTCCACCTCAGCCACCACCACCACCACCACCACCACCACCACCACCACCACCACCACCACCACCACCACCTCCACCACCACCACCACCACCACCACCACCACCACCACCTCCACCTCCACCAAAAAAAAGTTGTTGTTTAACAAACTATCATTAAAATATCGACACAGTTCACTATTTGTTACGAGGGAGGAGTGCAGAGAAAGGGACAGCCGGATGTGCGAGAAAGGATGGAGACGGCACAGCACAGGTTAATGAATCAATAACTTTGTCGGCACTTGTGCATGTGCTTCTCTAACACCTGGCTGTCCCTTTCTCTGCACTCCTCCCTCGTAACAAATAGTGAACTGTGTCAATATTTTAATGATAGTTTGTTAAACAACTTTTTTAATTTTAGGACATAAATTCTGCAAACAAATCATAGAGTTGGTCTGATATTTTGATTATGATCAGCGTTTCATTGAGTATTATATGTTTATTAGTTTTTGAGTTAGATTGCAATTCATCGGTCCGCTTTTGAGCCAAACGCACTATAGTGATGTAAGAAACCAATGCACTACTACAACTGAGCGACAGGGAGTGTTCAGACTTGACATACCTGGACTATTACTGACATAAGGTAAGACATGTAGCCAGCCCTAACCTCGAAATGGGACAGTGGGGTACCCTAGTGGCTAAAGTGTTCGCTTGTCATGCCGAGGCCCAAGTTCGATTCCCTAAATGGTAGAATCTGTGATGCCCATTTCTGGGATCCCTCGCCGTGAAATTGCTGGAATCAGAGGCCCAGATAAGCTGCGTATCCGGGTAAAATACGCATATAAAATTTCCAATTACGGATTGAAAAATAATTGTTGCATACCAATTACGCATTTAAAATGTTAGATCATGAGATACGCAAAAAGTTTAAAACAAATGCGTACGGAATATATTTATAAAAATCGCTTGCGTAATATAAAAAAGACATCAATTGCTATCAAGTTGTACTGTTAGTATAGGACAAGTGCTGTACTGTCCATTTAGGATGAGTGATTTTTTATGAACTCATTTCCATTATATTTAAGTCGGTTTTGATTAGGTATGACATAGTCATAAGGCAGAACATACCTGCTTAGTAAACTTACTCAGTCACATAATACTTAGGTGAGTAAATGACTGAAATACGCACATGTTTGAAAGCAGTGGGTAACGGAAAATGAAATACCCACTCAACATTAATAATACCCACTCTAAAAAAATACAGTGGGTACAGTACCCACATGAGCTAAATCTTATCTGGAGCTCTGTGGAATATTGCTAAAAGCAGCGTAAAACCCAACTCACTCACTAACCTCTAAACCCTTTCCATAAGGATTGTAAAGGGGTGACTAATTGTAAAGACATTTCAGCTCCCTAAGCAAATGCTAAGGATAGCAAAGGTAAATATGCTAGTCAAGAGATGTCAGACTGTCAGATCCCGAGGGAAAGTTTGCTAATAATAACATGTCAGCACCTTAACCCCCTGGGTGCCACAGGGACATATATGTCCTTCCCCTTCAACCCTCAATTTGAAGTCCAATATACATCAAAATATCCCACGCACACAAATACACTTCACAGTTTCGAATTCTGTGGGAAATTTCCTGTTTCTTGATACCATCCACTATTATTTCAGACAAAGCTCAAGTGCTGAAAATGACCTTTCAAAATAGGTTTCATAGAAAATGTCGCCATTTTTGACACAGTACGAAACCGCGATTCACAGCGTTATTTGCTGTTATTTTGAAATGTGAAAATTGGATAATTACTGGGAGTATTGAATTTCAAAAATAACATATTCATGATCACTGATATCAATTTTATATGAAATCGCTCATGATAATTCTGAAACGTTGCCGATGAATCTAGAATCGGTTGGGATGTTTTCGAAAATACACTAACACGAACGCTGTAGAGCGCTTTCCGCCATATTGGATAGTGTTTACAAAATCACGTTTCGCGAAGGCCGGTATTGAGATGCCTATTACATCATGTATATTTCCTATTCAGCTTCGAAAAATGCATCACTGAATTCCCCATACATTTTAGAATCAAATTGCAACTGGTCTTTGTCACCAATACCAACTGTCTAGATGAAATGAGACGAAACATACTGAGTGTGAAAACGAACGCTGTGCTCGAAAGACTGCCATTGTTTGAAATGTAAACAAAGACAAATGCATAGCATTTTCTGAAATTTTCCAACATTTATCCGTCTATTCATTGCTTGCAATGGCTCAATACCTTTGTAATATGTATGGGAAGAGTAAAGTACCAAGAAATAGGAAATTATAAATAGATACAATGCAATGATTTGATAATTCATAAGAAATTGTCAAAGTTTCAGCGAAGCATGACGACATGACTGATGCAAAATCACACAGAACGACAACGGTAATTATCTGCATTTCTGGCTTCTTCTCTTACTTATAATGAAAACGATAAAAACATATAACAATACACAGCTAGTCATAATCATTCTGATTATTTACATCTCATATTTATGTACAGACGATCCCTGAATCAATGGAACGTCCTCGCAAAATCCGGTGTACCCGTGTCAGCAAAGCTGCCATTTTGTACGAAATCGGTCAACGGTAGTGATGTCATACGTCAACATTGTTGTACATATTAGGCAATTTCTTTGAGGTGAAGGTCGGTTGAACAAGAGTAAACACAATCGCCAAATCCTTCCGATTACACTGTCAGTATTATGATGTATATTTTCGTATAGTTCAGATACTTTTTCATGAAACTGACTTCAGTATCTACATTTAGCCTTGTTCAATATCATATCATATGTGCATATAGGTTTTACGGTGTTTTATTTTTTGAAAGTTTTCGATTGTTTGAATAATATTTACATAAGAAATTGACACATTTAGTGCAGTACACCATATTTCAAACCTTTACACAAGTGTTAGAAGATCAAACGTAACTGTAACTACTTTAGTTCATATGATGTACAATATTCAATGCATTGGGACTAACTATTGTAGTTTCATATGAACAGGTTAATGAACAGCAATTTAATTCTACCTTATAAGTAAAACTGATAATATTAATGAAAATGATTTATATATGTTATGAAATGTATATGCACATATATTTAAAGGAATTGTCTAGTTCATTGCATATTTTTGTGTCTTTTTATAGACAAAACAATGATGTATATTAATTGGCCAGGTGCGCGTTTGTCGGAAACGTTTTATTATTCACTATCGTTGTTTTCGATAATATAATCAATTCATATTCGATTAAAACATATTGTAATGACAGGATATCAAACTCTAACTATATTTATACGAAAATTGTTTAAAAATACATAAACCATGTCATGTCTTAATTTGGACAAATCTTACATCCATATTCTAAAATATAGTTCCATATATAAAAAGCTATCTTTGTGCATCTTTCATTGCATACTTATGAAGAGAAATAGCTACATAATCATAAACAAAGAAAAGTCTTATCCAAAACAAAATATTCGTGTGTTGTGAAATATTATTTTTCATTTACGTTGAATTGATGCCAAACGGGTGCGCGTGTTGCACACAATAAGATACACAGTCAAACCGTCTAATTCTTGTCAGGACACTATTTAAATGGAAAAATCAGTCATTTTATGTTTTAACTAAAGAGTGTTAACTTCTGACATAGAAGTCGAGACCTTTTATACAATTAATGGAAATTAGGTGAGAAATATACTAATCAGCATACCAATGTCGTCTTTTTCTGACGTCTAAAAATGCATAAAACAAGCAATGATGTCAGCAATTTCATTACATTTAAAGATATGGCTAGTACTCTGGTAATAACGATGCAAAATTAGTCAAAATACATCTTCACAAACAGGAGAATATAGGAATCTAAGAACTAACTTATATGTCGGATAGGGCCATCCAAATCGCTTTTACGTACTTCCACATGTAGTATGTTGTCATCTTTTCTAATAAATTGTGAAACTACCAAAGCGTATCCGCTCACATTGGGGAACTTTGAATTGGAATAGTTTGGTTCATCGAGAACAAAAAATAGTAAAAATATAGTGTCCGTATCCACAACAAATTCTCTCCATGTGATCTGAGTAACATTGACCTAGTGTTAAGCATAACGGAGTTATGCCCCCTTATCATTATACGTGTATTGCCTCTCTGTCGTCGTTTGACGTCATAGAAGAAAATCCATTTTTGACATTTATTGCGAGTCATTGAGCGTATAACGTTATGCATAAAGACATAAAGCCAATTCATATACACTTATGTCGATCAGATATCAGGCTGTATTTTCTTCGCTCACACTTTCCATAAAGATGCCATTTAAAAAATTCGTAGCACGGTGCTTTTATCGGTGCGCAATAAAAAGCGGAGAAATTTACTGTTTTTTAATGCATAACAAAAATTTGGACAACATTTGGCAAAGTCTATTTCTCAAACCGCCGAGATAATTGCACTAATATTTATACCAACGGATAGGAAATTTAATATTCTACATTTCTGAGTAATTTTATAGCCGTACGTAGATCCAGGACGACGTGAGCGCAATTCTCGCGCAGCCATCACTTTTTAAAAAGTATGAAAATGTGCGCCTGCAAAAAAACTCGGCATCCAGGGGGTTAAGAAAGGTCTTAATGCCACTTGCGAGGTGCTAGGCTAACGATGCAGGTAGACAGAGGGGGTGTTATAACCAGGTGATTGTGAGAGATGTAAACTGCACTCTAGTCCTGTCAAATCATGGCATGTAAGCTTAATAAACTCAAGCCAGCAGAGATGAAAGTTTCTAGACGTATACCTCTTTAGTGAAAACCATGGGCACTGATATAGTGTACAGGTACAACCCCCGAATTTAGAGTGAGTGAGTATGGTTTTACGCCGCTTTTAGCAACATTCCAGCAATATCACAGCAGGGGACACCAGAAATGGGCTTCACACATTGTACCCATGTGGGGAATGGACCCCGTGTCTTCGGCGTGACGAGTGAACGCTTTAACCACTAGGCTACCCCACCGCCGTACCAAGAATTTAGAAATCTATACAGTGGCAGTGGACCGGGGTTCGAACTAACAATCATAGGTACTTAGTGTTATCGAAGGACGCAACTATGCATGTAGTCAGTTAGTATCTACATTTAAACCATCGATCATGAACTATGTTAGTACTTGTAACATACTCTAACGATGATTATGAGAATAATGACACCAGACACTACCGGGCAGTTGAGTTTCAGCACTACCGAAACAAGATGAACAAGCCGAGGTTACACTATTTCCAACTGACCACAACTCAAATACGAATCCATGTGTATACTGGGAATACCTGCTGGCAGTTCCGCTGTCCTTCCACGTTTTAAAGATGCTGCCAAATGCTGTAGGAACTCCATAATCTTCACATATATCTTTGGCAACTGATGTTTTATACTTCACGCCATGTTTGTTTGCGTACTTCCTGTTTATGAATTACCTCCCTTGTTTCTAAATATAAATCTTTAACCACTCATTTTTCAATGGTGGTTATTCATAACTTGATATTTGATTGGACAATGTCAGACGCGTTTGGGCGATGTCATAAAATAAATGAGAACACGTATGAAAGGGGGTATTATGTTGATAAATGCAGGTGTGTATAAAATATAAACATCCCAACAAGCCTGTTTACTATGAACTATACCCCATGTAACCGGGCAGCCTGTCGATATCATACATATATGCTGTTTGGTGAGATCAGAGAACATAAATTAATTTATTGTCTCCGGTGAGTGAGTGAGTGAGTGGGTTGGCGAGCGAGTGCATGAGTGAGTGAGTGACGCATTCAGCAATATACCAGCTACATGGCGGCGGTCTGTAAATAATCGAGCCTGGACCAGACAACCCAGGGATCAACAGCATGAGCGACGATCTACGCAATTGGGATACGATAACATGTGTCACCCAAGTCAGCGAGCGCGACCACCCGATCCCGTTGGTCGCTTCTTACGACAAACATGGGTTACTGACGATCAATTCTAATCCGGATCTTCACGGGTTGGTCTCTGGTGAGATTGACCTTAGAACGGTATCATGTTTATTTAATGTACCTGAATGAATGTAGATATTTTAACGACAGCACCCTCTCGAAGTTAAATGCATTACTTTTACGTGACATATGATGTATATAAGAAATCTTCTAACATAACATATTACAGTACAACCAGAAATTATTGAGAATGTAAGATTGTAATTTTTAATATTTTTTTCACTCATTACTCACGTATTAAATGTGAATATTAGCAGAACATAACCCCAGATTCAAAGACAGGTGTACAGCTAGTATTTTGTCAAGTCACCATGGGCAGCAATGCAGGCTTCAATGCGGCGGGGCATACTACTGATCAAAGAAGTTAGAAAGTCGTGGTCCATGCTGTCCCAATATCGGACCACCTCTTCTTTCATTTCAGCAATATTTGTCAGATTTTTCTTATTGACACTTTCCTTCATAAGTCCCCAAACATTTTCTATTGGATTTAGGTCAGGACTATAGCTTGGCCAATCTAATAATGTCATATTTTGGGTCCGAAACCACGCCTGTGAATGCTTTGAACGATTTTTGGGGTCGTTGTCCTGCTGGAAAATCCAAACATTTCCATAGAACACGTGAGCAGATGGAAATAAATGTCCCTCGAGAATATATGTGTACCGCTCACTGTTCATATTCCCTTCAAATACACAGAGGGGCGTTGCCCCTAACACAGATATGCCACCCCACAAGTTAAATTTCGGACTGTACTTTGGGCGCTGATACAAAGGTTTTTCAGTTTGTTTGGTCCAGAATTTCAGTGTATTAGGAAACAGCCACACAGAACTTTCATCTGAGAAAATCACATTGTCCCAGTTAAAATTTCTATGCTGTAAGCACCAGTTCAACCTTCGCTCCTTTTGTTCAGGTTTCATGATCGGTGATGGAATTCCTCGACTTTTCTGCCAACCCATTGCATGCAGCTCAGTTCTAATTGTCTTCTTACAGACAGCCACAGTTCCTCTATCAATCATATCCAGCCTTAAGTTTTCTAAACTCCTTCGTTTGTTTTTAGAAACAATAATACCAAGCCGCCTCCTGTCACCGACAGTCACTTTTCTGGGCCTACCTGCGCCTCCCTGGTGCTCAATGCCATATCCATTTGCAATATTTTTCAAAACACGATAAACAGTGGACAAAGGGATGCCTGTTCTACTTGAAATCACTTTAGCTGATCTGATGTCCTTGTTATAATACTCTAAAATCAACTTCCTCTTCCCTAAATCATCCATACTGAGGATCACTGAAAATGTCATCTGCTAGCAGTAAACAAAGTGGCATAACTCTTCACAAACTAATGAAAAAGGATTAACGGAGTTGTCTCTCTTGAATGAAACCAAGCACTTGATAGCTGGTCAAGGTTGTTTATACTAGAAATCCAATTAAACATATTCCTAAAATTCTCAATAATTTCTGGTCATACTATAAGTGACAACAAGCGTTTATATTCTTAATACACAGATGTGTAACACAAAGGCAGACTTTTCAACGTACAGGATAACTGGAGTGAGTGAGTTTATTTACACCGCTTTTCGCAACATTCCAGCAATATCAAGGGGCTTTGGTTTGGTTGGTTGGTTGTTTAACGCCCGTGTCAGCAATATTCCAGCTATATGATGGAGTTCTGTAAATAATCGAGTTTGGACCAGACAATCCAGTGCGACCATCCGATCCCGTTGGTCGCTTCTTACGATAAGAATAGGTTGCTGAAGATCAATTTTTACACGGATCTTCACGGGTGTTCACCCGAGGATAACTGGAGTGAGTGAGTTTTAGTTTTACTCCGCTTTTAGCAATATTCTAACAATATCACGGCTGGGAACACCAGAAATGGGCTTCACAACTGTACCCATGTGGGGAATCAAACCCGGATCTTCGGCGTGACGAGCGAACGCTTTAACCTCTAGGCTAACCGCCCAAGGATAAAACTGGAGATAAGCAGAGACATTCGGAACACACGTGGTCCAGAGGATGTACAGGAAGAGGGTGCTACACAGATGGTGTCATTAACTGACACATAAGTTCAATGACCCCGCCAGTTGCGTGACGGACATGATCTAACTCAATCTTGAAGGCGTTGTATTTCCTTTTTGATGTATGAATTGAAATGACGCTGTCGCATTAAGGGCCCAATCAGGTTTCACCCAGAGCTATATTTACTCTCCAAGTGCATGAGTCCTAGAAATCAAAGATTAACATCAGTGACACTGTATTTGTTCTGTTATTCATCACACCGACTTCTAAATGTCAGTCGGGCGGTGGGGTAGCCTAGTGGTTAAAGCGTCCGCTCGTCACGCCGAAACCCGGGTTCGATTCCCCACATGATACAATGAGTAAAGCCCATTTCTGGTGCCCCCGCCGTGATATTGCTGCAATATTGCTAAAAGCGACGAAAACATAACTCACTCACTCACTCACTCACTCAATGCCAGACAAAGAAGGCATAGCTTAAATATATCAAATTTGCTCGAAAGGAGGAGCAGCACATATATATGGGTTTATTGTCAGAAACATGACATATTTTTGGTCACTGCTCTGAATTGCGGAGTCTAACATTACAGGTTTTCTCTCAACATTTTGTTTTCAGGGCCTATGTAAAAACCAGAATCGTAGCGCCACTCTTTTCCCATCCACTCGATGAAGATAACAACGCCCCCTAGATTCAATAGAGTGTCTTCATAGGATTGTGTATAACACGCCGCTATATGGATGGAATTTTGATGAGTGCGGCGTTAAACAACAACAACAACAACAACAACCCCCCAAAAACAAAACAAAACAAAAAAACAAAAACAAAACAAAAAACCCAAAACAACAACAACAACAACAAAACACAAACAACAAAAGCAAAAATACTCCCCTAAAACATGTATTCATATTCAGATATATGTCATGGTTTGGGCTATAGCAATGACATTGTTGCAGATAACTCGCTTTTAAAATAATTTTCTCTGATCTTGTCTTGAGTGTTGATATCATTGGTTCATGCGATCTGAATGAAATATGTGTCTCGTGAAATACACATCCTATGAGCGGGAGGGGCGGTGGGAGTAGCTTACTGGTTAAAGCGTTTGCTCGTCATGCCGAAACCCGGGTTCGATTCCCCACATGATACAAATGTGAAGCCCATTCTGGGCTCCCCTGCCGTGATATTGTTGCAATATTGCTAAAAGCGACGAAAACATAACTCACTCACTCACTCACTCACTCAATGCCAGACAAAGAAGGCATAGCTTAAATATATCAAATTTGCTCGAAAGGAGGAGCAGCACATATATATGGGTTTATTGTCAGAAACATGACATATTTTTGGTCACTGCTCTGAATTGCGGAGTCTAACATTACAGGTTTTCTCTCAACATTTTGTTTTCAGGGCCTATGTAAAAACCAGAATCGTAGCGCCACTCTTTTCCCATCCACTCGATGAAGATAACAACGCCCCCTAGATTCAATAGAGTGTCTTCATAGGATTGTGTATAACACGCCGCTATATGGATGGAATTTTGATGAGTGCGGCGTTAAACAACAACAACAACAACAACAAACCCCCCAAAACCAAAACAAAAAAACAAAAACAAAACAAAAAACCCAAAAAACAACAACAACAACAACAAAAAAACAAAACAACAAAAGCAAAAAAATACTCCCCCTAAAACATGTATTCATATTCAGATATATGTCATGGTTTGGGCTATAGCAATGACATTGTTGCAGATAACTCGCTTTTTAAAATAATTTTCTCTGATCTTGTCTTGAGTGTTGATATCTCATTGGTTCATGCGATCTGAATGAAATATGTGTCTCGTGAAATACACATCCTATGAGCGGGAGGGGCGGTGGGAGTAGCTTACTGGTTAAAGCGTTTGCTCGCCATGCCGAAGGCACAGGTTCGATTCCCTACACGGGTACAATATGTGAAGCCCATTTCCGGGCGCCCCTGCCGTGATATTGTTGGAATATTGCTAAAAACGGGGTAAAACTAAACTCACTCACTCTCAGGAGCGGAAGAAAAAAATCACTTGGACCCTGTCACGAAGAAAACAGGCTGCATGTGGGAATAACTAGTTTGGGTACGGGTTGAATAAAACCACATTTACATCGAGTGCAACAACATATAATATACCGGACGAGCATCGATACACATCTTTAAACACATGATGCTGTAAGTGGTGATTGTTGATAATGAAGTTACTTTTCAATAGGCAGTAAGTGAGTGAGTGAGTTTAGTTTTAGGCCGCACTCAGCAATATTCCAGCTATATTGTGGCGGTCTGTAAATAATCGAGTCTGGATCAGACAATCCATGCAGTGATCAACAGCATGAGCATCGATCTACGTAACTGGGATACGATGACATGTGTCGTTAGTCGCCTCTTACGACAAGCATGGGTTACTGAAGATCACTTCTTACCCGGATCTTCACTGGTCTCTTTTCAATAGGCCACCAATCGTTGGTCCCTATAAACCCTCCAAGGAGCCCCTTTGTTTCACTCGATATGAATAGTCTGGGAACGGAATCACATGAAAATATTCTCTTTTTAAATGTATTCCGTTCGTACTGACTTTTTGACCAAATATTAATCAAACAAATAATAGGTCTATGTCGGTCCATTATTGATTATGTTTATGCAGGTTAGTTTTTTTATTCCACTTGCAACTTACAACTATCAACTGCGAAGATCGATGGTCGTGCTGTTTATCACTGGGTTGTCTGGTCCAGACTCGATTATTTACAGACCGCTGCCATATAGCTGGAATATTGCTGAGTGCGGCGTTAAACAACAAAGAAACAAAACACACATAGACGTCTGAATCCAGAATGAATTACCCCAAGTGGCATAAACTAAATAATTACACAAGTTAATAGTGCACCACATCATGACTTCCATCTATGGAGTTTGGTTCTCGTTAAACCGGATACGTGAATCACGTTTCCTTGGTGCCATTCGTCACATGAGAAGATTAAGCCACTTAGTAATAAAGTCCTGTTCACCTCCGGCCGTTATAAGAAGGGGAGCATCGGCTAATATTAGAACACAGTCCCACATTGCGTACCGCACGAACTATCCACGAGATTTAGTAGTTTCAGAACACGGCGATGATGAGGCTTGTGTCTGCTGCTGTAACGTCGTGTCTTATTCTAATTCTTCACGTTTCGGATTCCAGATGCTATACTACACCAAAGCCTGCTAACCGACTCAACACTGAAGAATGGGGCTTCAGAGAAGTCTGTCATATACTGAATAGTAAGTTTCTCCAGGACCGTGTTTCTTGATGTTGACCCATGTACTTGTCGCCTAAGCCGGCAAAGTACAGTCAGACCTCGTTAATACGAACACTTTGGTTTTTTAAAAAAACCGTTCGGATAGTGAAACGTTCGTACTGCTGAAACCACAGCATATGCACCGAGTTACTTCCCCTTGATATCTTTCCTTACTATCGAGACTCTGAGGTCATAGATGAAGCCTATGTTTATGAAGGAAATGATAAGCTTGTAAAACGTTATTGCTACTACATCCCATACACCATTTAAAAGATCTAATCCTACTGTTGATAAATATGAAGTTTATTTTTATAATGTTATTCAAAAACTATGGCGATTTTTTTCCATTTGTGACATGTCATAACATGCCCGTGCCTTTTTCTTTTATATTTTCATTTTTACGTCATCAGAAAATTATTATAAAAAAGATTTCTTAAATAATATGTATGGTCGCCTATTTCCCGATATCTGTGGCTTTCCGATCGGTAACATGACATAACAACGGAAAATACCTCCGTTTTCGAAGCGTCGTATGAATAACATGGGAGGCGAATCGTTTGATGTCGGGTATCGTTCGAAAGCTCTGAACATCAACATGTATTTGGGTTGGTTAAAAAGAGAAATTTTAAGAAATTTATTCCAAAATAGAAAAAACCAGGCATTTTTCGGAAAACAATGTAATATATTCCGAGGAAATTACTTCGAGGCCCTAAAGTTGTTCAAAACCTATCAGTCTTTCAAATAAAAAACGGCTCATAAATGCCAGTAAAGAATACAAATGTTGTCTTCCAAATGTTTAAGACTGCGTTTCAAAAGCCTTCTAGATGAATTCCTTAAATCAGAAAAGTCGGATCCTCGTTCATTTTGAAACCTTTTAAAAGGTAAAAAAGGGGACACGATAAAGATTCCGGACAAACAATTACTTTTTTCATTTTCTCAGAATGTTAAATGAAGACCAGGATAGGTTGATTGAGACATTAACTCCATAAACGATTTCGATGTGCATTGCTAAATGGTACCATAACAAAGGATGAAATCACTGCCTCCGTTACAAATCTGAAACATAATAAAGCTGCTGGGCTTGATGATGTCGTAAACGAGTACATTTCTTCCACCATTGATATATTTTTAGATATTTATGTTATCTTTTAAACACGGCTTTAGACACAGGGAGTTTCCCAGAAAGGTGGTTAAATGGAGTAATAATGCCTATCTATAAACAAAAAGGTGATCCAAATAAACCAGAACATTATAGGCCCATTACCCTTTTGAGCTGTCTCGGGAAATTATTTACATCTATTTTAAACAATCGCCTTACAAAATTCATAAACTCTAATACAATATTATCTGAAGCACATGCTGGTTTTAGAAAATGGTATTCTACAATGGACCATATTTTTACAATGTATCATCAGTCGGAACTGCTAATAAATAGAAAAAAGAAATTATATTGTGCTTTCATTGATTTCCCAAAAGCCTTTGATACTGTCTGGGGGATGGGACTATGACAAAAAATAATATCAAACAACATAACCGACTCATAATCATCGGAAAGTGGTTTGAAGTTATTCACAGCATGTATCAAAATATCAAATCTTGTGTATGATGTAATGGAGGCATTGCTCAAGGTGCAGGTTTATGACCGATACTATTTACAATATTTCTGAATGACCTTGAATATAATCTACAAAATGACAACTGTAAAAGAGTCTAATTACATCCTGATGATTTCAACAACCGGTTAGAAACTATGATAAATCTACTTGTTTTGTTACATGCCGACGAAACCGTTCTGCTTGCATCAGACCCAAATGATTTACAACCTATGCTAGATTGCTTTGATAAATACTGTAAAACATGGAAACATTATATAAATGCATCCAAAACACATACATGTATACTTATATTTGGTGGTTCTAAAAAAGATTATAAATACTGCTTCAAAATTGGAAATCAAATTATTGAGAACGTGCCTTCTTATGAACACCAAGGAATCACAATGCAAAAAAATAATATATTCACTTAAATAAAAAATGATCTAACTAAGAAGGTCACCAAAACTATGCATTTTGTTTTAAGCAAAGGTAGATTTACTTTGTGTTGTTATTGTCAGTTACGATTATTCGATTGCTTGGTTGCCCCTCTTCTTTTTTATGGGTGTGAATTATGTGGTTTTGGTAATAAATTTTGGGTAGAAAACATTTATTAAAAAATTCTAAAGGAACTCTTCTCATTAAGAAAAAGCACCCCTTTGAGTCTGAAATATGTTTTGTGTACATTAATAGTTGTTCTGTTTTTCCCATTCAGTCATATCGTACCTCCTGGTAGCCATTGCTGTGGTACTCTGTATGGGCTTTGTTGGAACACAGGCATTACTCATCCGACACAGGTATGTGTGTATATATCATGATAAAAGCTTTGGTTGGTTGGTTTGTTGTTTAACGCCGCGCTCAGCAATATTCCAGCTATATGGCAGCAGTCTGTATATATCATGATAACAGCTTTAGTTGTTGGTTTGTTGTTTAACGCCGCGCTCAGCAATATTCCAGCTATATGGCGGAGGTCTGTAGACATCACGATAACAGCTTTAGTTGGTTGGTTTGTTGTTTAACGCCGCGCTCAGCAATATTCCAGCTATATGGCGGCGGTCTGTATATATGATGATAACAGCTTTGGTTGGTTGGTTTGTTGTTTAACGCCGCGCTCAGAAATATTCCAGCTGTATGGCGGAGGTCTGTAAATAATCGAGTCTGGACCAGACAATCCAGTGATGAACATCATGAACTCCATTCTACGCAATTGTCACGAGAAGTCTTTAGCTCTACACTGAAGTCCTTTCGATACTTATATTTATATATATTTATTGTGCACATATGTCACTCCCTCAAAGGTTTGGGGGGTAAAAGAAATGTACTATTCGTTCTGCCAGGTTACATTCTCACATATCCGTAAAGCGTAACAGAGCTAGTATAGATCCGATATGCAAGGCATTGACAATGGTTGGCTTTAAGGATTATTTTGCTCCATTTGAGTGAATTCATATAGACTTTTATTAATTAAGGTGTGGTAGCTTACAGGTCAAAGCGTTCGCTCGTCACGCCGAAGACCAGGGTTCGATTCCCCACATGGGTACAATGTGTGAAGCTCATTTCACGTCACAGTGGGTGAGTGAGTGAGTGTGGTTTTACGCCGCTTTTAGAAATATTCCAGCAAAATTACAGCGGGGTACATCAGAGGCTTGATAGGTAATAATGATACTAAACATAATGCACAGCCTTGTTCAGCCATTGCAGTCGGTCCACTGACCACTGGTATCATTGACCACTGAATGTTTGTCGATCGGATGTTGTTAGTTGTGGACGCAGTTTACCATAGATAATTCTCAAAACCGTTATTAGTATTCACTTTGCTAACGAATGTTGTCTTGGTATTGTAGGTTGCTGCAACTGAAGGCGATGAAAAGTCAACAAGATGAGGCACACGTATACAACACGTTTCAAACGGAAAGACAGATAAGCAGGGCACACACCTATGCACAAATGCTTCCTGGAGCATCAAACATCAGCACCGCCAGACACAGTTACATTGACGTTCTCCCTCCAGATTTTGATGATTACATCAGGCCTGTCTGCTCACAATGCTCGGGCAACGTATGAGTTCAAATCAGACATCAAGCTGTTGTGATGAAACCATTGTGAATTTATGTCATCATGTGATATTTGGTATTGTTTATAGTTTCACACAGAGACACGCTCTCCCGCCCGAAGGAGATCTGTAAGGAGTTCGTGCAGATCCATCAACACAATGTGGAAAGTGTCCGATAAAATGCATCTTTGATTGTTGTGATATTCATGCATAAATTAACAAAATAATATTTTCAGTGCAAATACAATATATGTCACCAGTACTTGAGTCTTGTTTACTTTTTATTTTATTTGTTTACATGTCTTATCAGAATCCTGCGACCCGAGAAGACCCGGTTAGGATTGGTCTTCAGTAACCCATGCTTGTCGGAAGAGGAGACTAACGGGATCGAGTGGTCAGGCTGGCTCACTTAGTTAACACATGGCACCGTATCCCATTTGTACAGATCAACGCTCATGATGTTGATTATTGAGACTTGATTATTTACAGAAAGTTGCCATTTAGCTTGAATATTGCTCAGTGTTGTGTTAAACAACAAACAAACTTAAAGATTCCTGCGGGAAGTGACATCTTGACACACATTTCTCTTATCACAAGTTTAGGTGTATCCTGGTTCGTGTGTGTCGTATCGTAATATCAACCGGACCTATTCGTCCGTAATGTGAAAATGAAAATCGCACACACGCAGAGTTTACGTCCTACACCAATCATCTTTCAAGAGCAATTACTGTACAAACAACTATGGTCATAAGGAAGTGCAAGTGGTGATGCACTCTCAAAGCATTCATTATTATCATATCCACATTGATTCTGGTGTCCCCCACCGTGATTAACTGAAATATTGCTAAAAGCGGCGTAAAACCATATTCACTCACACACTGATCGATGAAGGGAGGTGGGGTAGCCTAGTGGTTAAAGCGTTCACTCGTCACGCCGAAGACCCGGGCTCGATTCCCCATATGGGTACAATGTGTGAAGCCCATTTTCTGGTGTCTCCCGCCGTAATATAGCTGGAATATTGTTAACAGCGGCGTAAAACACAACTCACTCACTCACTGATCGATGAACCATTGCCAAGATCCTGAGAATGGGGGATGGTAATTTATTTTAGGAGCGGGGAGATTCAGAAGAAATAGAAATCAGGGGAGGGGGGGGGAAAGGGTCACCACAAAATATGAGTCCCTTGGGTGGGTCACACGAAATACTACACATCTTTGGGGATGGTCATTGTAGAATGGACATTTGATGATAAAATATTGTGTCCGTTTACGTTTAGTCTTTTCAGGAAGGTCATGAAAAATGTGCGTGGACATTTGGACGGTAAGCAAAACATGTCAAGATCTTGGGACGGTAATAGGTTTCAGTACATTGTATATATATCTATCAGCTGGTATCACACAGGGCTACTAAGATATAGCAGTTGGTTACTGAGATGTTATCAGACTGCCCCAACAAACTGTTATAATATGTGTTTAAACGTTAGAGTGATTGAGTGAGTGAGTTTGGTTTTACGCCGCTTTTAGCAATATTCCAGCAACATCACGGCGGGGGACACCAGAAATGGGCTTCACACAATGTACCCATGTGGGGATTCGAACCCGGGTATTCGGCGTGACGAACCAACGCTTTAACCATTACGTGAATGTTTACATCAGTTTAGAAGATGGTAATGTCTATACAACCAAGTGGATAATTTTAGATAACGTAGACGTTGAGCGCGATGGTGACCACGTAGCATGGTCCCGACGTCGGGGCTTCTGGCTCTCAATCCAGTCTCTCTCAACCTGTTCCGTACATTTTGACCGGATATCCACCGAAGTCCAGGCACCCTGGCTCCTGTGTTCTCACCCGTGGCAGTACGATCACGCAAATGTAGTACCCGGATGTACCGATCTTGGGGGGCAGTGGTGACTCGAGGTCTGCCTGTACGGGGACGGTCATTTGTTATCCCTGTTTGGTTGTAACGAGCTGCAAGCAGTGATATCGTGCTCAGTCTCACAAACCGAAACATGAATCTCTTATTCAGTGTAGTTCTGTAACGCACAATGTGATTGTTATACTATCAATTCCGTACCAGACCGCCAAACTTTTCTAGCGGCAGAGCCTCGTTTTGAGATTTCCACGATTTCCAGGTTTCTGTTTGTCAGAGCTCGCTGTACGACAGAGCACGCTGCACGACGTGTTTGCAAGGATTAGTAAGGAGCGTAGTGTTGCAATATACAAGTGCTTAGATAAACTAATTATTAATATTAATTCTGATTAATATTTATGTATCCAGCTAAATGAATTGATCTAAAAATTCTAGACATATTATTGTACTAAGTTGCGCAATAGGACCGAACCCAGTCAGCAGGAAACGAGACTGTTGTGTAATCAATGTTTTGACTTGATTCAGAGGTGTCCTCCCATTACGCAGACAGCCAGTTCGCAGACACCTTAAAACAACAAAATTTACGGTTCAGTGAACAGAGTATCTACTACCTGTTACCTACACTTTATAATTGAATAGTCCAAATAAAAACACAGGAACAAACTGAAGCTATGTTATATATTTTGAAAGATGGACGAAAAGAGAGTAATTTAAATTTTTATTGTTTTATTGCTGCAATATAAAAACAGTTTAGTTTCATAAACATTTCGGTTTAACCTTCTAGTCTAACGGGAGTCGGCATCATCATATTGAAAACATTAGCTTAGCTATTGGAAATTGCGACACTGTTGTATCATATAAATCAAATGGACAAATGTGAACCTAAATATTATTCATATGGAATAAAGAAGTTATATGTTTTGCACACAATATTTAGATACATGACACGTGCACTTAATTACGATTTGCTTAGGATAAATATTTGAAAGATGACACATCATGTCAATGTGGCCAAGGATGTGAGAATGTTTTTCATTACTTGGCAAAAGAAAATTGGCAATCTCCAGCGTGCATTCTTTCAATGGCGATGTTCCGTGTCGCAGCGTCAAGACTTGGCGTAGTGATTTGACCTTGAAACTCCTTTAAAACGAATGCCGATTTCCGAAAGTAATCTGGATTTTTATAGCCAGACAGTGCATGCTCTTTGCTGCACAATTTCAACTGGAAGGTGATTTCTGTTGCGTTGTGGCGATGCCTTTTTAATTCTTGTAAGAAATCTCATCAAAATCAACATTTTCAGGTGAAGTCATTTTTCACTTGTGCAATAGTGTAAAATCATGTTATCAACACTTTTGTTACATATTTTGACGATTGTTTGAACACAATTGGTAATTAATAGATTTAAAAAATACTAAACCCCTATGCGTTTCTTTTTTTGGATAGTATAAAAAACAAACAAAACAATAAATAATAATAAAAAACAAACAAACTAAACTCCCCCACCAAAAAACCCAACCCAAACAAACTAAAACCCACCAAAAAAACTCCAAACAAAAGAGAATACAATAAATAAATAAACAACCAAAAAACACCCCTCCAAAAAACCAACCAAACAAACAAACTAAAAATAAAATAAAATAAAATAAAATAAACAAAAACAAAACAATATATAATAATTATAAACAAACTAAAAAACAAAAAACAACTCAAAACAAACAACTAAAATCCCCCCAAAAACCCAAACAAACAAGAATAAAAACAAATAAATAAATAAATAAATAAATAAAATCAACCAAAGACCCCCCACCAAAACCCAAAACAAAAATAAAACAACAACAACCAAACAATACAAACAAACCAAAACCAACCCAACAAGCAAAAAAAAAACAACCCCCAAATTACCAAGTGTTATTAATTGTGATTAAACGTTGATTAAATAACTGTTACCACACATTACCACGGCGTTTATCCGTTGTTCCGGACAGTGTTATTTATGTGTTATCACATATGATTAAACAACCGTTATTAAAAAAAGATTAATTCCGGCTTATAGTTAGTCGCCAACAACCTATATTGTCGTAAAAGGGGCATTGATAGCTGGATGTTAGCTGACTTGATGGCTGGCTCGATTGCGTGTCATCTAGCCCGATCGCTCATAATATCAATCACTTGTTTGTCTTGCCTATTTATTTATTTATTTATTTATTTATTTATTTATTTATTTATTTATTTATTTATTTATTTATTTATTTATTTATTTATTTATTTATTTATTTATTTATTTATTTATTTATGTAAACGAATGTTGTTAATTGTGGCATAAAACAACCTTCACACACACACAGGATTAACGGCATTCGTAAACGGGAAACAACTTGTGTCGTAAATCGGTCAAGACCTGTATTTATGTGTCACCTATGAACCCACGAGTTAAGCGGATCGTGATAATTGCTTCCCGCCTAATCGGAAACTATAGCAATAGAATATGACGCCACTTCTTGTTCAAATGTTTAAAACTTAGTTGTGATCACTTACGCACTGGAATCTCGAAGTCTTGTTCAGCAGAGAAGAGAACGCTTTCAGGGAACAGATCTCACAAAAGGGTAATGGCAACGTTGAGATCCGTTACCGCCGTAGTCGTAGTCGTAGTCGTAGGCGTCTTTGCTGTCAGACGTGGTCATTGTATGGATTCTGCTGCACTGCAAGGGCGGAATGATTCGAGCGCAGAGACGCGCTACAGGACGCCATTACAAACTCCCCGCAAACATACGTACAGCAAACGCCAATCCCGGTACAAACACACCTGGCACAGGACAAGGGGGACAGGTAAGAATATTACATATTTCTGTGAACAGAATACCACAGGTTCGAATATCATATTATCTCGTAATCATTTCTTTCAATGGATCAGGGCGGAGTGGTAGTCTAGTGATTGAAGCGTTCAATCGTCACACCGAAAACCCGTGTTCGATTCCCCACATTGGTACAATGTGTGAAGCCCATTTCTAGTGTCCCTCTCCGTGATATTGCTGGAATATTGCTTAAAGCGGCGTAAAACCATACTCACTCGTTCCTTTAATGGACCGGCTACAAAAGACAGGTATTTACGTACAGTAGACAACGTTTGAAAATTAATGAACGCGCCTCTAACGAGCCGACGGATAGAGCAAACTGATCTTGGTGTCTCTGGCACTATTTCTTATCGTCGGAATACGTATGAGTGAATGAGTTTAGGCTTACACCGCACTCAGCAATATTCCAGCTATATGGCAGCGGTCTGTAAATAATCAGGTCTGGACCAGACAATCCAGTGCTCAACAGCATAAGCATCGATCTACGCAACTGGGATATGATGAAATGTGTCAACCAAGTCAGCGAGTCTGACCACC